AAAAAACCCGGGGGGGGGGTAACGCCCGGGGTTGAACGAAAAAATTCAATCGGGTTTTGGAACCCCCTGGGTTGGGGCCTTGGGCAAGGTCCCCCTTTGATTCCAATCATTTCAAAATGGTCAAACCGATTGGGGGGTTACGTGAAGGATGCAGGGTAGCCCCTTTTCCGTTCCCCGGGATGTTTTCAAACAACAAGGGGTCCAAGTTCCCCGGCCCGGGTTTTGAAATGCCCCGGAAACAATTGAAGTTAGGGTTTTTTTTTTACGGGGAGATGGTGCTTCAATCGGGATGTTCGATCGATGTAGGAAACGCCGACCCCCAGGGGTAGATCAGGGGTCCTTTGGAAGTTTTGGCCCTTGGCCCCCCCCCCCCCCCCGAGGAAGTAGTGAAGGGGAGAAAACGCCTACGAACAGCTGGCCTTTCAGATATCAGCTCCGTATGAAAGTAACGTCTTTGGCCTTGTCGTCTGGGGGGGGGGTGACGTTGGCCTAAAGAAGACATCCACTCCAACCACCGGTGTACGCGTGTGGCTGCGACTCACGAATCAAGAAATGTGGGAAAATAACGACATGTCCGTTTGCGTATCGACTCCATTGGTGTCAGCAGCGCACCGTCTGCCGGCTAATCGATGAAAACATGACAGTTTCGAAGGGACGAAAATCCTACTACACTCTCCCATGAGCTCGGGGGGGGACATCTGCGGCTGGTGTGCTTGGTAACCTCGTCAGCCATCTCGATCTAGGTCACGGATTCCCATCTTTCTGGCGTGGAAAAGCTCGCAAACAAAGGCGCATGGTCGCGTGTACACACAACGGTAACGAAAGGGATTGCTGCATCCTTCTGGCGTCAAAATGTGAAGGCCATCACCGCAGGAGGAAAGTTGGCATATACTTTTGCGGTCCAGCTTCGAACGAATGGGCGAATGATTCTTGTTTGCCTTCGTTGGGACAATCCTCCTTCCTCTTCGCTGGCTATTGCTTGCGGGCATTGAATAAACTTTTCGGTCAGCTTCAGAAAACAGTACACTGCTTGCCTCGAGGGGTGGAGAGAAGACATTGTCGGTAAAGGTCTGAAGGAAAATTTCCATCATCACCACAAGGCCCAGCAGCAGCAGCAGCAGCAACAGCAAAATCACAACAGCATTCCAGGTGTAGCCCCCAGTCTCGCCCTAGGCGATACTACGTGTGTTTCATTGGCAAGAGCGAGATGGGGGGGAGTCTACGGACGGCAATGTTGGTGTTGGTGTGAAAACATTCCCCCTCAGTTGAGAAATGACAACCTTATCTTCAACAACCACATATTCGGCCAAGGGGGCAACATGGACTGAAGGAAAACACTGATTAGAACTAAATCTGCCCGGGCCGTCTTCTGTGGGTTGTTTTGGCATAATTCATCAGTCAACAACGCCAAGTAGCCTCGACGATAAGCGCAAAATAGGTAGTTTAGACTGAGGGCTCCACTGACGGCGTACGTGACACGCACACGAGTACAAGCACTACCATGCACACCCGACGACCAGAGGGTGACACATGGAGAAACAATACGTTGGTGCAGCAGCGGCAGGCTTCGGTGGTGTTCCGGTGTATGTTCGTGTGTGTGTCCCGTCAGCAAGAACATGCGGTGTTGCGGGATGCGATAGAACATGTTTCGAATAATGTTCTGACATGCTGGCAGCTTTGTTGTCGCCTGAGAGAACATCGCCGGTAATATTGTCTAGATTACAGACAGGAGTGGCCGCTTGTACCCGCTACGTGCAGGTTGATCAAATGATGTCGATATCGACACTGCGGAGGGAAACTACAGGGGACGTAGATCTTGGGTCGAAGATCTTGGCAAGTCAATCGTGACCATGGTACTGGTTTCGACCGCAACAAAAAAACACACTGAAACCTCAACGATCACAACTACACGTGGTTGATCGCCGCATCTCGTGCGGTAGATGTACTCGAATAGAAAAATCGCAAACTTCTTCTTCACCTTTCAGCGTGGTTGGGTTGCCGGCTGCTGGCTGGCCGGACGCTGCATCGGCGGACGGCCTTGGATATACCACCGAGCTTGCGCTTCCCTGGCCTTGCCTGAAGCGAGCCACCCAAAACAACAAAGGATGGGTCTCGGTGATGCCACAAGCACCATCTCCAAAAGACGAGTCTGGGGCAACAAGGTGATTTCACCCATGTGAACATCGAGGACAATGCAGTCGTCCGCAGTATTACTCCACACTCGGTGGACTCCACGCCGGACCCGGCAAATGATATATGATATAGGCTCGCGTGCCACGACGATGCCCACACAGACCAACGCGAAGCATATCTAAGAACTGAGGGAGCCCTTGCCATGTCATGTCGCGGCTCGATGTTGGATGGATTTATCCGCGCCTGTCCGCGTACAAACTTGACCACGATTGTGTCCATAAGAGCGGCCATGTCCAACGCAGGTCATGCTGACGATGCAGAAAATTCACGGAATTACACACTAAGTGCACGCGCTCTCGACTGCTAACAGATCCCTGAAATTGGCCAACGATTGATGAAAAAAGGTGTAAAGTCCACATGAGAGCAGTATCTCACCGACATGAGCGCTACCTTACCTTCTCTTCCTCGTCTTGCTCCTTCTCCTCGTCCTCCTCCTTCACCGGGATGTCCACTCTCCCGGCAATGACCTGTCGAAGTAATGGAACAAAACATGGTCACGCTACAAAAGACGCTGGCGGTGAGAGGAGAAACGAACTTATCCTTCATCGCATATAACGAGTCTCGAAAACCCTCAGCAATAGTAACCACATGTTGTCCGGCTGCGTGACGTGAGGTCTCCAATCAGTCTAGGCCAGATCTGCTACTCATTTGTAATGACGGCGGCGTTTGTGATAGAGTAAGAGAGAGCCATTACGACCTATACAAACCACAAGTTTAACCTTCTGACGAACGTACACCTGCGCGGGTGGTAGAAGTTTCCTCAGCAACCAGGCATCTACGGACACACACCAATACCATCAACATCAGGTACACCTGCACGTTGGCCAACCGGCATCGTGGCGACGTTGAGCAGGCACGCGGGTCTTCGATACTGCCCGCCGAATCCTAAACCTCACCCGAAAAAACCGACAGCAGTATCGCACCAGACGAACCACCCGGAGGGATACCTACCTCGCCTTTCCCGTGCCTCTCCTCATCGGTGCATCCAACTTCTGAAACCCCACTGTCTGCTCTCTCTTCGGTGCCGTGTAGTGTGTAGCAGTCCGCCTCTTCACCTTCGGGCACGTCTGACTCCTCGCGCTGCAAGACGGAAGCACGCCAGGCGTGAGCGGGATCCCCGCGAGGGAACGGGTGTCGCTAGCACCAGGCTGGTGGAAATGTTTCATAAGTTTGGTGCCCTGATTCGCCTTCCGTCCGCATGTGGCAGATGCGGGGGGAAATGCCGAGAGTCAGCATGTCGGGGCGAAAAGCCCGTCGTTCGCAGTGACACGCAAGGCTCACCTTGACAGTCACGGTGACACGACCAGGCTTAGCGTCCAAACCAGCAGATGACATCGAGCCTGCGTGCAACATTCCACGGATTGCAACAAGCAAGGCACCGTGGTGTTTTCGCCAAAAGGGTCACCTCTAAGCGACACCAGCTGACAGCATAGAGCACGCGCTGTCACTCTCTACAAGGGCCAAACCACAAACCGTCTTTCATATCCTCACGTTAGGTACGCTTACTGAAAACCTTGCTGCCGCTGTTGTCGCCACTCGGAATCCTTCTGCGAACGAGGTGGTCGAACCAACAGGAATAGCTACGTGGTACAAGGATCGACCAAAGGGTAGCGTATCGTAATCCCCGCTAGGTTTTTTTAACTTGATAAACCCTTCGCAAAACTTACAATACACATGCAAAACTTGTAGATCATCTCGCACGTATGCATAGCCGTCATTCACATTCCAACCGATCTGCACACAAAGGACTACAGTGTACCACAACTGTAGACTGCTAAAAAGCGAATATATATTGGTGACATAGACCAAATAGTAGGAGCACAGCGCGTAGTACACCAAGCGCAACGAGTTAGTCCAGGGCATACATAGCTATCCCTCACGATCGGTGGGCTAATTCATCATTTCAATGGTGCTGCTGCAGCTTTGACCCCTCTGCTGCTTAGACTGCCGCCTGTACCATTGCTGATTCGACAATGCGACTGCTGCGGCGGTTCTTCGGTTTTGGAAAATGTCGGTGAAATCATGCACGCATGGCATAGTCTAGGGTCAGGGCTGCTGTTTCCCAGGTGATGAGCCGTGAGGTTACGGACAAAATACTTCTACCCCGGTATTGACCAATCCCATAGCTAATATGTGGGCCCAGGATTTGCTCTATTTCATGGTCTGAGCAGAGCGCTGCAACAAGGCGCCCGCCGGGAGACGGAGGGTTTGGATATTCTCACCCGAAAATCATCCCGCCACCATCCGTGAGGCATTACTGTAGACTGTGGACAAACGAACTCAAACGCTGCCGTACTGTCGTCCGACTTCCGGACATATACAGCAGGCCTGCAACTCACCAACAAAGGGGGGGGGATGAAGGTTGGTAGAGGGAGGATCCCGACTGCTCGTCCTCGATCTGCCGGAGATTACCAACCCCACGCACAGAAAGGGCGAATGAGAGCCTGGTTTTGGGTGGTTTCGATGAGGGTTGCTCACGCGCTTTTTGGAGCCACGAATGCCACACGAATCCAACGATGTGAGAGAAATTATTCCCTATTGCGGCGGACAAGTTCTCCGGGTGCCTTGCTCTAGCAGTGCTCGCTCTAGCCTGGGCTGCGGGGAAGGGCGGAGGCTGGGAAGAGGGCACCGAGAGCAGATGCCTCTCACGGGTAGCGGCTAGAATGTCGATCTCGGCCAATCAGCGCCTCGCTCGTCGTGGACAGTCATAAGAGGTGCAAGCTGCGAGGGTGGCTTAGTGCCGGAGTTCGGTTGGCGCATAGGCGTGGTCGTTTCAACATCGTTTCATACTTGTTTCGTTGCACACCTCTCCTTGTCAACTCATAGGCCTGTGCCAACTGAACGAAACCTGGCGGGAAGTGATCGGACGGACGTTCACATGGGGGCTTATTGTTCGCCTTGAAAACTGGCTCTCTCCTCGGGCTCTCTCCTCCAATTCAAAACGCGTCCAGAATTCTCAAGAACCATGACCTAGATACGGAGACACAACCATACAAACGCACCACAGGCAGGTGGGAGAGCAGATCTATGAGGCCACCGTCCTTGTGAAACGCCCAGAGGGATGCGAAGATGATTCTCAAGCATGTGTGGTTTCTTCGCCTTGAAAACTTCTGGCTCTCCCTCCTCGAAAACAAAACGCGTCCAAAAATTCCAGGGATGTTCACGGTGGGAACCGCACCGCGGTGCGGTTTTTTGTATCTTGACATGGTCACGGTGCGGTGCGGTGTGGTTTTTACCATCCCCAAATTCGACGGTGCGGTGCGGTGCGGTTGTTGTCATCTCGAAATTGACGGTGCGGTGCGGTGCGGTTCACCGTCGCACGTTTTTTTTTACGGTGCGGTTTTTTCTACCCCGTGACAAAAACCGCGCGAACCGCGGCCTTGGCGGCGGTGAACCGTCGAAGAACACCGCGGAGAATACTACGGTTGCCCGTGAAAAAATGACGGGGTCTCCATGATTTTTTTCTTTTTCGTGGAATACGTTAGGTTTACTCCATTGAAATGAGGCCGGCACGACAGATCCCGCGGCTTGCGGTCAGAAAACCCGAAAACCCCAGACAAAGGAGAAGCTGATTATTCATTTACTTCATATTTCCCAGTCACTATACGTTCCTACAACACGATCGAGCTCCATCCCTCACTTACTTGCTTCTACTACTACACTGTTGTACTGTTGTTGGAATATATATGCGAATATGCGCATATGCTAGAAAAAATGAAGAAAAAATCTGGCAGCACCAACAGGCAGGCGGCTCATGCCCGCCACGGGCTACAACCCGCGAATGAATGCGTTGACGGCGGTGCGCCGCACGCTGCGAACTGTCTTTGGGGTGCCGCCAGTTTGCGCGGCATCAGCAGCACCAGCAGAGCAGTGGTAGAACCACCGGGAGAAGGAGGATGGACGCGTGGCGACTACCTCTCTCTGCAAGAGGCTGGTGCCCATCGTCGGGGAGTGACTCCATCAGATATGGGCGGAGTTGTGCACGGAGCGTATCGCAGTGGTGTGTGTGTGGTGTGGGGACACGGTGTTGCGTGTGTGCTGGTTAAAAAAAAATAGAAGACCTGTGTGTGTGTCTGCACGACGAAACCGTGCGTTACCTACCTGCGGTTTTTACCTCGGTTTACTGCGGTTTTGTCGCGGTGTACTGCGGTTTTGGCTACGGGGTGGGGCACACCGCACCGTAATAAAACCGCAACTAACTACGGCTAGGTGTGAATCCTACGGTACGGTGCGGTGCGTTTTTTCATCTCGAAATGTGAAGGTGCCGTGCGGTGCGGTTAAACCGCACCGCACCGTCGAGAAAAACCGCGCCTTGAACATCCCTGAAAATTCTGACGACAGGGGCCCAGTAACGGAGAGACACAGACATACAAACGCACCAAGGCAGGTAGGAGAGCATCTAGAGGCCACCGTCCTTGTGAAAGGCCCGGAGGGATGGGAAGATTCTTACTTATTCTACAACTCACTTGCATTGTACTTCTTCATGCAGGCTGCAAGCTTTGGTTCGGGTGAGCCGCGGAGTCAGACTTGCACGCAGTCTATGTATACGGCTTGGTACAGCTGTAGGCTACACGTCCTGCAGACATACATGTGATCCAATCTGTCTAGTTGTAGCAAGCTCGCTGCGTCTTCGTCCATCACCCATTTTAAGATTATTTCTGGTCATTAGATCGGTGTCGCTGATGATGATCCACGAACGTCCCATCATTACTGTCTACATATTCCTGTTCGATCATTGCAGGGCAGTATCACAAAACATGGCTGTGGCAATCTGCTCCTGTAGACTAATAATCCTGTCATAGAATCCTGTCATATCTATATAGTCTGTACGTTTAAGAATCCTCTCGCACCACACGATGTGCATCAACTCACTGGCGTTGCCTAGGAAAAAAAAACTGTTGAATTAACTCTCGGGTTCGGACTTCATGCTGGGGTGCGCGGCAAACATGACGTATATATCAAACGTACATACGCTTTGCCAACTCTTTCTTCCGAAGTAAAATCTAAGCAAAATAAAAGCTCTCAGTCAGGCCATACAGCAGTCACCCAATCTTCCAACACCGACCGCTATTTGGCGCCTCTATAAATGAACAGACAATGAAAGCGCATGCCACGGTAACCAGCCGGGCGTTTACACTGCGCTAGGAAGAACAAGTCAGCTGTGCTAAATCATGGTGAGACCAACGAAGACGACGACCCCCTTCCGACAGAAAACAAAAAACACCGCATGTACCAATGCACCGGGCAATCAACATCCCCGAAGGAAGAGAGGAGCGACTTCACACGACACCGCGCTGATACCGGCAAGGATGAAATCCCGCTCAACCTCCAGACCACGGTACAATGTGCTACGATATCAGAGCCCACAGCAGGGGCGTCATGGATGCCATCCTCCACATCGAGATGACGCTTTTCTCGACAGGAAACGAACTCTCGGCAACGTTTGCCCTCGCCAGCCAGCGCCTCGACAGAAGAGCGACCCAGCCATAGTTTGGGCATCACGCCCAACAAACGCAACTACATGGCACACTCAAATCGGCATGTCCCCGAGACAGCGACCGGGAAACCTGGAGCGAGACGCGCTTGGCACGGCCTCCTGATGGGAAACCCTCCTGCGATTGCTCTTGGTTCTTATGAAAAACGCTCACTCGTGCGTGCAATATCCCAGCGTCTGTTGTTCCTTTTCACCTGAATTCGCGAAATCATCTACTACTGTAGGACGGTAGCTTGGTGCCCAGGCATGCCCCAAACCGGTTTCTTTGACGGCGCGTCAATGGCGCCGACCACCATGGCGAATATCACCGTCGGCCGGTACATCGTCGCCCTTTGGCAATTGAAGGCCCCCCCGCAACAGCGGCAAAGCTGTTGCTACCAAGGCTTCCAGGACCATTTGTGTAAGAGAGAGAGCCATCCATGGCTGTCGCCCTCTGGCCTAGGGACGACAGAAACGTCTTCTGTCAAGGTTGGCGTCACTTGAGCCCGTAGGTCGAGTATTTCTGGTCTTGTTTCCGGATCTACATGGAGATGGAGTACGGAGACAAACGGGGGGAGAGGGGCGGGGGTGGAATAATATGAAAATATGGTAGCGTTGGTCGGTGGGGGCAGAAGTGGACAACGCAACAGCAACAACAACAATGCGACCGGCAAAACCTTCAGTAGTAGCAATAAACTCCTAGGACGCGTGAAAAATAGTCAGCGTTGGAAATCAGCCAGCAGACGGGGGGCAAATGCTCGGCGACCGGTGTGCTCGAAGAACGGTCTGGACAACCTCACGAGTGAGAAGGGAAAACAGCCGACACTAGTCCATGGACACGACGCGACGCGGTGTGGACAACAACACTCCCGTCAATTCAGAAACAACCAACGTACCTTGAACAACCCAACGGGTATCCGTAGGCCGAAAACGCCTGCCAGCGTCCAAGCAACCCTCACGGGTAACAGCGGGGACCCCGCAGATAGGGTCGCGCTCAAGATGAGGGCGGCGTTCAGGAACGTCGAGAAGGCGATAGCATCGTACATGCTGGTTTGCGTCAGCTCCAAGCGCTCGAACGCTCGTTCTGACTCCAACACTCGTACCTGTTCGGAAGCGTTGCACGAGATGCGCGAGTGGAACGGGCAGTGGGCAGGGATACGGCTTTGAACTGCGCCGTCTTTTCTCATTGGTACGCTCCATGCGAGCACCCTGGATGCTGCTTAATTTGGTCGAGGGGCGGGTGTCTAGGAAGGGTAGATCCAGATTTTGGACGCAGGACAAGAACTTCGGGACAAGAGCAAATGGAGCACCCGTCCGGCGTTTTTTTCAGGCAAAAGTGCGATCACGACGATACCATCTATCAGAACGTTGTAATCGTCTTTTCGCGCCAGTACCGTCCCCGCATCCCTGGTTGCAAACACGTGTAAGGCGAGCAACCATCGTTGTATGTGTTACAACACCTCCTCCAATCGAAGGGCCACAAACGCTTACGTCAGCTGGTACGTACGTGGGCAAATTTCGCCCACTCGAAAGTCGAAAAGTGTATGCGGACGTTTGGGCAGCACTCGTGTGCAAGCCGGAAAAAGCCAATTGACAAATATCCGCGCAAAAAAATACTTGAAAGTACTTCTATCTTGATCATCACGAGGCAAGGTCGACTTCTTTCCCTCCAACCAACCACACGTTCTCGTAGCCTCCATACGCGGCACCTCTACACACAGACATGAGACGGGAGTCAACAGGACAGCGAAACAGCAGGTCAGAAAAAAGCAAGTTAAAAGGGTCATACCCGGAGCTTGAGATCCCCCTGCTCGAGTTTTCGTGTAATGTCCTCCACGTACGCGACGTTCCGCGGGCTTTTGACCACGGCTTCAAGGTCCTCGGGTCGCCATCCGACCTGAACACGAAGACACGCGGTTGGGCGCGGGGGGGTAAGGCTATGGGAAGCCATATGTCATGCTAGATTTGATACTCTCAATGAGTGGAATGAATCGAATGCCAACGCAACAACAACAACAACAACAACAACAACAACAACAGCAGCAGCAGCAGCAGCAGCAGCAGCAGCAACATCAATAACAACAAGAGCTAGCTCTACAACAGCAAGTAATCGAAGGGTCTTGAGCTTCAACACTGAAAATGCTTGCTAGGAAGGCTTCCCTCCGGGCGAATTATTTCTTGCAGGCGAAACATCGCCATCCTTGAAGCTCCCGCGCGTTCTCCGACAATTGACACCCGGAGAGTCACCTGGCTCGTAAATGTATGTGTGTCTGTTGGTCCCATCCGTTCTGGCGCCAGTGCACTCACCGTTTAGTGTGTACGATCGGCGTATCAGCCGTGGTCACCCTTTTTATTTCGAAAACGAATTTCGACTACATATCCTCGGAGATGGTGGTAACTCTGAACTGAAGTCGCGGTCTCCGAAAATACAACAGCAGGTTTGGGATGCATGACCCGACGATGAGCCCATCGGTGTCATCGCCAAAACATCTTGGGGTGAAATCGAAAACAATAACACGACCCTGCCCGCCCCACCGCGCAATGTCTTCAACACCTGACACATGTAGACAGAAGACATGGTTGGCGCACAAGCACGAGGAGGCGTAGTTCGCGGCACCAACGCCTCCTAATCCGTTGCGTGCGTACCCAGCCTTTCAAAGCCGAACGCAAACCAACAGATTTGTCAGCGCCGACTACCGTATATGACACAAGATAAAACACGATTTTCAAACCCCGATTTCTCCACGACGAAGAGGATGCATAAACGAAATAATCCTTTTTCGAAAAATTCTCGACGAGACGGTTCCAACGCCGCCGTTTTCGGCGATGTGACTCTTCCTGCTGTTGAGAAATCGAGCTTTGAAAATCGGTCAAGGGGGTGTGTTATCTTGTGTCATATACGGTAGTCGAATGGGTTGATTTCGGTTCAAAAACAGTGGGTCGTGGTCGACTGATTTCGGCGGTCGACTGATTTCGGCATCGAGAAAAGTTTATCGTGCGGTCCCGTAGACTACTCAGCGCTGACAGCAAGCCGAATGGTTATGCTTTGGCTTCCAAAAGCCGGCTCATCACCTACGCACCTTTTTGACGAACGTCTTTGCGACCGACAACGCAAACGACCCATCCCTCACGTCCAAGAGCTCCTTCAGGTACGGCTGGGCTAGTCGGGTCAAATCGTACCTGCAGACAACATGACCAGACGGGTTACGGAACAGCAGTTGGCTGATGAACAAAGGACAAGAGAAAAGCACAGAAAAAAAAACACAGATACAACCAGAAACGCGCATCGGCCAACCACCAACCACCTCGACGGCACGGAATCTCCCGACATGACGGGTGCAACACTCGATGGCGCGGGAGAATCCCAGGTCCTAGACAAAGGCTAGACTACCCCCAAGCAGGGAGACCAAAAGGATCGTCTCGCTTCCAGGCGTTCCCAAGGAGGGCCGCCAAAAGGGGCGTCAAGCCTGTTGGTGTCTTTAGCCTCCGGCTTACTTTGTATCCAAACCCTTCCCGATTCCGTCCAGGGACGTGAATGCTCGGAAGACGAAGGTGAAGGTCGGCGGGAACTTGAACGGCACGTCTCCCGACACGGACAGAAGGTCTTCGCCAAGCTTGGCCCTCCGCTCCTTGCGCAACCTCGTCTTGTCCTCCTGGGAACGGAGGGCGACGAGACAAGGGCACCACCATACCATGTCCCCAAGGCGGGGTGCAACACGATCGTGTTTAAAATAGGTTGAGTGAAACAAAGGGTGTTCTATATTGTAGTTTGGGCGAAAAAACTACGTTGTCGAGAAGAACGCACAATGTAATTTTGGAGAAGAAAAGGTGTGCTGTAGTTTGGGCGAAAGAAGGAACATGTATGCATAGGTTGGGGGTAAGAAAAGGGAAAGATAGAAATGGAAGGCGGCAAGACCGCTACCAACATGTCCAGTAGGGTACAGCAGAACAGTAGTACCGTGTTTAACTCCGGACGTAAAATCGGGTCCGCAATCGAATCTAAATTCGGCGCAAATTGCATGTAGGCGTCTCTGCCCCCATAGCTTGTTGTTTGCCTACAGCTGATCACTGTCTTCTCCTCCCTACCGCGAAAACGCGAGAGAACACCGGAGAAAGGAACACTTTGAGAGGTGACAGGAACTCCTCCGGCCAACACGATCCCGCCTCCGCTAGCCACGGCACCAGCGTCGGCTGCGGGGCGCCGCCCGGGACAGGGGAGGGCCGCCCAGCCACTCAGTACAACACACTTCCAACACGGGCATCGTCCCGATAACCCCCCGCTCGCCTATGTCTTGCGTTTACACCACGGCGGGCTCCTTTGGTGCCACACCTACCCTAGATCTAAAGCGACCGCGGACTAGCGTGCAGTTGCCGCAATCAGATGTACAGCCACCTCTGTCTTGCGTAGATTGAGATTGACGGCAAGCACGGTATCTCCGACTGGCATCGGGTTGCGGCTAAGCGCCGCAGGAATGAGTGCTAAGCAACCTGTGCCCAAAAGGCAACCCACGCAACCCAGTGTTTGTACGCTTCACAGAACATGAATAGTTTCCAGTACTTCAAGCGTGCATTTCTGAACTTCCGATTTTTTTTCCAAACTTTCGAATTCCGACTTTGCAGATCACCATTTTTTTCGGTGCCGGTAGTTCCTAAGTTCCAAATTTCCAATTTGTCTTCCTCGGCCACAAACCGAGATTCTATGGTTTACGGATGTGGAAATTTGGAAATTTGGAAGCAAAACAGCTGTTGTTTAAAACGGCCCTAAAGGGATAGCGCTTTCTGTACCTTGGTGAGCTCCGCAGTCCACTTCCCGTCCTGTCCCTGGTTGAGTGTGTTCGTGAACTCGCCCAGGAAAGACCTCGCGATCTTCTCCACGCTGATCACGGGTAAAAGGCATAGCCAGAAAACGAAAGCATAAAAAACAACGTATACAGCGGATCAATGGCACAGCTCGTTGACTGAAAACGAAACAAAAACAATGATTGGTTCTGACATCGTCTGTGTCCAGCGCCAAACGCTGCATGCTGATCACAAGAGTCACAGGCCGTCCCAATGAGAGGTACACACAAAACACCACCGAAACAAAAAACTAAAACGGACTGTTAAGCTCCAAGAAGAGAAGGTACACAAGAATTACGTACGGTGCGGTACGCCGCCAAGACCCCGCCCCCTAAAATAAAAAAAATAAATATCCGCCCTTATCCTGTCATCGCCAAAAAGCCAAAGGCCACGTACACCGCACGCTGCGGCCACCAGCAATCAGTGCAGCGGGGAGTGGTCCCGAAACGGCAACCAAGCCAGAGCCCACACATACCTTATTCTGTCCGACCCGGCCTTGAGGATTCCCATTTCCACCAAGGCGTCGCAGACGGCTCGCGGGTCATTTTCATAGGTGGAGAAGATGAGGTTGACCAGGCCCGACCTCACGTTGGGCTTGAACTCATCCATCATCCCGAAGTCGTAGAAGATCAGACGGCCCCCATCTTCCTCGTCGCAAGCGACGTTTCCTGGAGAGGTATGTAGTCGAGACTTTTAGGTGCTACTCTTTCGTTGGTGCTGTTGCTGGCTGCTGCTGCTACTGCTACTGCTGCTGCTGCTGCTGCTGCTGCTTGCTGCTGGTAAACATTCTAGGGTGAGTGGAATAAGTGGATCACAGAAAGCAGACTGCTGTGTTGCTGACCATGTCTGGGCTTGACCCTAAAGTAGCAAAGTGATCGCAACCACGACAATAATGGCAAAGACAACAGCAACGAACGTTTAGGTCTACGTGAAGCAAGCGTTCTCTTTCGTACAGCAGTGTCTTGGTAACGGATGGCAAGATAGACAAGCCATACTCAAATCCAACGGTACCGAACAACCACGCAAGCCAAAAAAAGACAAAAAGACAAAAAAATACACCTGGATGGGGGTCGCAGTGGAAGAACCCGTGGCGGCACAGCTGCGTCAGATACGCCTCCGCCGAGCGTTTCGCCAACAGCTTGCGGTCGATGCCCCTCCGGTCGATCTCGTCGATGTTGTTGATCTTCACGCCCGGAACGAACTCCATCGTTACGACGCGCTCTGACGTCATGTTCCAGTACACGTCCGGCACCTGAAGGTGTTCATGGTGGGACAGTAGTCGTTTCGTATCGTTGTTTTGGTGATCGGGGCTGGCGTATTCTTGTTGCGCTTGTTGTTGTTGTCGTTGTTGTTGTTGTTGTTGTTGTTGCTATTGTTGCTATCAAGACCCACCCGCTAACGGAGGAACAGTACTGCTAAACAAAAAACAAGTCTTTGTGCGACCTTCCTCCTGCGTGACCCAGGTTTTACTCGTTAACATGTGTGTACTAAAAACATGCGTATAGACTGGCGCCAAGGGAGACCAGACGGACAACCACACATAGACATGCGACCAAACAACAAGGTTCAGCCTGGCTCACCTTCACCCAAGGAGTGTCCTGGAAGTTTTCCTTGAAGCGAATGGCATTTTCTGCCTCGTTGATGTAGTCGATCTCCTTGTACAGCAGTTTGGCGCTCTCTTCGTAGATCGACACCCAGTCTCTGATCCACAATTTATTTTTGGCAAAATGAGCGCAAAAAGAAACAGGAAGGGGGGAAGTACACAATTAGTTTAGTTTTGAAGAGATGAGCAGGTGCCGACAGAAAGCAACACGCAGCGGCACCCCGAATCATCAGCTCATTCTTCGTTCATTCCCAAACTCCAAAAGGGCGAAAAGCCACAAAGACAAGTCTTGTGGATATAAGTTTTGGGCACCGAGAGAAATCCTCAGGCAACAACTTATTCCCAAACTCCACCAAACGGGACGTCTGTTCAAGAACAGAGTTGGTAGGAGAGGTTGGCTTCCCACCCACTGGTGGTACGCACCTATAGCCATTAAAGTTGCCCCGCAACGAACAGACCGCACCACCACTCGAAAAACTGTTGGCAGGCAGCCACGAATGTAAGCTTTCCAAACTCGTCGGGGCAGAAGGAATCGACGCCCCACCCCCCTCTCCCCCCAAAGCTAAAAACTGTCATTTTATAAGATAGGGGCCGCAGAGATATCATACTCACTTTTGCATCCGAGGGGTCCCTTTTCATGTCAAAAGAGAGTGGTATCACACTGTATCACAGAAGCAGGAAGACACCTCGAAGCCTTAGGCAAGAAACCAGAGGCTCGTTAGTGGTGGCCGCATAAAACAAACAAAAAAGGGTTCACTGACCTGTCCGCTCCGTCGAACTTGGGATCCAGCTTGTCCAAAACCTTCACCAGCAGCTTCAGGTTCTACGCGTTTGTTGCCGAAAACAGTGAAGGAGACGTTGCTGGTTGGTATCGGTGGGGTTACTTCCTCCATGATAAGCAAACTTGCGGCAAATCGAAAATTCCTGAACCTTCGCCGCGCGTATATGACCGTTGCAGCGAACTTTGTAACGCCCAACAGCAATCTTTGCTTGACTGCAGCTTCAAGACCGATTGACTTATATATGTCATGCAAGCTCCGTGTGTGTCGTGCTCTTAATCTTTGGAGTTCTTGCTGCTGTCGTTCACCTTGAGATCTTGGTCGAAGAGAGCCTTTAGCCCTGCTCGCTGCACCTTCACCGCCACCTGCTCCCCGCCCTTGATCTTAGCCAAGTGCACCTGTTGAGCGGGAAACGAAGCATGAGAACTCTGGGTTCAACAGGCCATTGAACCAGCAACGACAACAACAGAAAACATCAAGAACAATAGCAACGAGGTCTCTGCATACAAGAACTCACCGACGCAACATCGGCAAGAAACGGCAACAACGTGCATCAAATTGACAACTTGACACCACGATGACGACGACAACAGCAACGACAAAAACAGCAGCAGCTGCAGCAACAACAGCAACAACAACAACAACAACAACAGTACCATCAACGAAAACACACCTGCCCGAGCGATGCAGCAGCGAGAGGAACCTCGCTGACAGTCTCGTACAACTCCTCCAGCGGCTGTCCCAGATCCTCCTCGATTATTCTCTTGGCCGACTCAAATGGAAACCCGGGGACGTTGTCCTGAAGCATCACCAGCTCCTTGATGTACTCTTTGGGCACCACATCGATCCTGCAGAACATGTGACGGGCTATTAGATTCTGGAAGGTTGGAATCACCGAAAAATATTGGAAACAGGTTCAAAACAGGCCATAAGCCGTTTCAGTGTTTTCGGTGTGTTCACTCACTTGGTCGGGTGCCCCGTGGATGCACACCTTCCCCTATTGAACAGGAGGTGGCAGAGAGCTTCATGGACGCTTACGGCCAGCCTGAGATCACAACATGAAGACTACACGCAAGCCCCTTGAGGAGAGGCCTTGCCGGGAGGAAATGTTTCCAAAAACTTTGGGGGGTAGAATCACCAAAACGCCGTAGCGTACGGCGGGTCGAAAAAAATACGTCAAGTCTCTACTCCATCCCTGTGCTTGGCACGCACTTGGCAAGGAGGGAACAGACAAGTCGACCACAATGCTCCGTCCTCTCGAGGACGCGTGGTCAATGGTCTACCCGACAAGACGTGCAAAACATAAGAGTACGCCCCCCGTCGTCCCCTCATGCTACTTGGTCGGTCCACCACGCGCGCGTGTCGCCGCCGGGAAAAAGTTCTTCGAATGCAAACTTTACCCCCCGCTGGCGCACCTCGTAGACAGGAGCTGGCCGAGCTTGATGAAGGTGGGTCCCAGCCTCAACAGGCCATCCTTGAGCTGCACTGCAATGGCAGACCTCTTCTGGCTCTTCTCGGCCGCATCCTCCACCTGGCGGCCAAACAATAACAATAGTAAAAGATACACGCACAGAGTGTATCTGAGAAAGGTTTTCGAGAGAGATTCGTCTTGGCATTCGGATTCAGCACGTCGCACACTTTTGGTCCCCTTCCGGGGACCTTGGCTTTAGGCCCGCTGGTACCGACGTTTTTATGATTGGCCTGCCGGTTACCTTGGTCGACGCTAATTCCAAATGCACACACTGCCGTCTATTATCCGGAGAATAGTCTGTTGGTAGGCTCTGCGATGACCCCCTCGCGGGGTCCCAGATCATGGATTTCGGAAGCGTTGCCGGTTATGCCGTAACCGCGTTGAGACTGGCGTCTTGTGGGTCGTCGGTCGGGTAGCGCAGTCGATGCTATCACCAATAAAACCCAAACGCACTGATCCACACCGGGAGAAAAGCTTGTCTATTCCCTCCCGTAAAAAATAAAAGCTATCATAAACGATCACCGGGAGCACTGACACCCACTCTTTTGATAGAAAAACCTAAAGCAGACGGGAACGAACGCGAACCTAAAGCAGAATCAAGGTGTTCGGATATGCGCTATTCTCGGCCGACGGCGCGAGAGGCCAAATCCCGAAAAACATGACACGGGAATACCGCGAGTTTGCTAGTTTCCGCTCGGGGATCGGGAAAACGAGACATGGCACATTCCTGGCAGAAACGTGCGTAAACGACGGCAAAATAACCCATGCCACCAATATTAAAACAAGAATCGCACCCCGTGCACGATAGCTCATGAAATGTACGGCGGTAGCCCTTGGCTTCTATTTATCGCTATAAATCGGGGCTCACAGAATCTCTGCCGGGTATCTAGGAGCCCCAATCCGCGGTCACACAGAAGGTTTCTCCGCCTCATGTGCGTGCGTGTCTTCAACACTAGCATCGACCGTGCTAACCGGCTGACCAAAGAAAATACGTCAGTCTTATATTAGCATCGACCGCGCTAACCGGCTGACCAATGAAAAGACGTCAGTCTTATATTAGCATCGACCGCGCTAACCGGCTGACCAATGAAAAGACGTCAGTCTTATATTAGCATCGACCGCGCTAACCGGCTGACCAATGAAAAGACGTCAGTCTTATATTAGCATCGACCGCGCTAACCGGCTGACCAATGAAAAGACGTCAGTCTTATATTAGCATCGACCGCGCTAACCGGCTGACCAATGAAAATACGTCAGTCTTATATTAGCATCGACCGCGCTAACCGGCTGACCAATGAAAAGACGTCAGTCTTATATTAGCATCGACCGCGCTAACCGGCTGACCAATGAAAAGACGTCAGTCTTATATTAGCATCGACCGCGCTAACCGGCTGACCAATGAAAAGACGTCAGTCTTATATTAGCATCGACCGCGCTAACCGGCTGACCAATGAAAAGACGTCAGTCTTATATTAGCATCGACCGCGCTAACCGGCTGACCAATGAAAAGACGTCAGTCTTATATTAGCATCGACCGCGCTAACGGGCTGACCAATGAAAATACGTCAGTCTTATATTAGCATCGACCGCGCTAACCGGCTGACCAATGAAAAGACGTCAGTCTCATTGCAGGTGTGTGTGTATTCGCCCCGGCTGTTCTGGCGCCAGTGTACAAATGTTCGGCGTACATATCTGACGTATCAGCAGCAGCAACATGGCGTTGTGCTGCTGTGCTCACTCGGTTAGTGTTGGTCCTTAACTCGGTGAGTTTTCGTCCTTAACTCGGTGAGTGTAGGTCCTTAACTCGGTGAGTTTTCGTCCTTAACTCGGTGAGTGTTCGTCCTTAACTCGGTGAGTGTTTGTCCTTAACTCGGTGAGTGTTCGTCCATCACCTTCCGAAGCTTGATCTCCTTGAAGAGCATCTTTGCTCCGAAGATCCAGACCTCCACCGACCGGCTGATGGCGGACCCGTAGCCTCGCTTGTTCCAAGAGGACTCCATGTTGCTGCAAAATGGAAGGGAGCGAAGAGAATCTTAGTAGTTTGTGATAAGAGCATACCAGTGCGAAAACGAAGAAAAATGCGAGAACATTGTTGTACTACTACAGCAGTAGCGCGCCCTCAACAACGTCGGTGTGTGGCCGGCGAGTCGACCGGCGCTATTCAGCAGGGCCAGCGCTATTCAAATTACAAAATGACTTGGCGATTTAGTCTGTGTCCAGCAATTTCGACGGCGCTATTCAGGGACACCGGCGTTATTCACCCGGCATGAGGGCCCACTACATCATTCCTGGATTGAACATATTTGGTGAGGGTGATGGGCGGGCGGGGGGGGGGTGTACTCGTAGTCGTGCATGCCGTAGTCGTTAGACCATTGACCTCGCATCCCTACAAAGCCGGGACGCAGCACGCCGGGTTCTCACCGGACCAGGCTCTCCCATCACCAAGCGCGAAGCGCCGTGAGGTATTCAGCGAGTCGCATGAAGGGTGCGCTTCATCCTGCTAAGGGTGTCCGGCATCTCGTGCTTACTTCCTTGCACGGATGACAGCTGCGAAATCACTTACTATATTTTCTGGTACTTTCACTTCCATAGAGACAACTGTAACCACTGTGTAACTGCCTCGAGGGTGCTTGATCAATGTAACCCAACGTGGTGCGATCATCCCTCTTGCGCGAAGTGGGGTTTTTCGACCCCGTACAACATAATCTACTCGACCACCACCACCATTCATTATGGTAACCGCAGAAAAAAAGCTAAAGGCCAAAAAAAAAGCGGTAACCTGGTTGCCGAGCTCACGAAGTGATCGGCTTGTTTTACAACATCGCTGTCAAGCGACGAAACCCAACCCTGATGGCAAACACCAGGGGCGGGCGGCTTGTTTTACAATGTCGTGGCCAAGCGACGAAAACCCAACCCCGATGGCAAACATCGGGCAGGGAGAGGGTGATGGGGGGGGGGGTGTACTCATAGTCGTGCATGCCGTAGTCGTTTGACCATTGACCTCGCATCCCTACAAAGCCGGGACGGAGCACGCCGGGTTCTCACCGGACCAGGCTCTCACATCACCAAGCGCGAAGCGCCGTGAGGTATTTGGCGAGTCGCATGAAGGGTGAGCTGCATCCTGCTAAGGGTGTTCGGCATCTTGTGCTTACTTCCTTGCGTACGGATGACAGCTACGTATGACTTAATTTATTTTCTGGTGATGGGGGGGGGGGTAAATCTCAGTACGAGCACTCGCCGGCACACAATTTATTTTCACGGGTGTCTGCTGTTGGCTGCGCGCACGCAGACTTTGCACCTGCCTGCTGCACGCGCAGATGGGTTAATCCCTATTGGAGCTATGATATACACTGAATCTCAGAATTTTTTCTGCATGTCTTCATTACTAACTGTAGTAGTCTACCGTACACGACACAAGATTAACACACCCCCTGGACCGATTTTCTAAGCTCGATTTTAATTTTCTCAACAGCATAAAGATTCGCGGCGTCGAGCGTCTGGTCCAGAGCTCTCCAAAATGTATCGTTTCGTTTGTGCATTCTTTTCGTCGTGGAGTAATCGAACATTGAAAATTGGTCCAGGGACTGTGTTATCTTGCGTGGTACACGGTATGCATATGTATGTGCGGAGGGCCAAGGCAATACATCAAATCCGTAGAGAGACGTATAGGAAAAATCCGCGATGGATTACCTGTCTGATCCTGGCCACCATGTACAGCAGTGATGCGGTTAACACGTGCGTTCGTCTTAGTTTCTACAACGGTCTGAAACTTACGGGATGCATCCTGCTTCTACATGTATGATGCAGCAAATTCCTACCAGTCTTCTTGCCCAGCACGGATACGGCATCGTACTGCGGACAGCACACATCGAACTGCTGCTGTCTCATATTGTCGAGGCCAAGCAAGTTGAAAAGGGAGTGGTGAGCGAGGGGGGCATCAAGACCAACTGAAGGCTCCGCATCCCTATCGGCCGTTTATTGCTGCTGTAAAAGGCCCAGGCCGTTCGAGGTGTACAGCAGTAGACTACTGCTGTAGTCTATGTACCTAGTTGGTTGAGTTGCATCCTGCTGCCAACTCCCCCTTGCACATGCGTCCAAGTGTAGTCTAGATATCCATACTTCGTGCAATACTCCGTACTTCGGCAATGCAACAAAAACTCGTACCCCGCCATTCCTCGCTATGAAACACAGGTCTAGACGATCACGACCCAGCACCCCCCGCCAACACACCTCAGGTCGCCGCTGCTGTCCACAACGGCAGAGCTCGCAGCCGCCTGCGACGCTGCCTCCGACAGCTCGTAGTCCTGCTGCATTCCGGTCGCCTTGGCCATCATGCGCTTCGCCAGGGCCTGCGTGAACGCCCGCTTGCCGATCTCCCCCTGCGAGAGAGCATTGAACAGCTCGCGCGTTTTGACGCCCCCCGCCATCCAGGCATCCTGCTGCTGCGGCTGAGCTCCTGCTACCTTCATGGAGGGGGAGGGGCGGCGGGATCGAGCCTGGCGCCTTGAGCATATGACAGCGGACGAAGGACCGCCGAACGCTGACGCTGTCGAAGCAATCATCGCCGGCGAAAATGCGTCGGCACCAGGCACGTGGTTGGCCCAAGCAGCCACGGCAACTGCCACCGCAGCGGTGCCAGACAGTGTACGACCCATCCTGTGGGCAACAGACACTGGGTGCTCGGCTGCTTGTGCTGGGTGTGATGTGCCGAACAAGTCAGGCGCGTCGACTGATGTCCAGCCTACGAATACGCAGGCTATTTTGCGTTGAGTGTGCCCACACTCAAACCACGCTTTGGGCTGTCGATGACGCCTGGCAGTTAGTTGTACACGAGCTCTCGTGTGTGCCTGCGCTACTTCTCCATCTATCCCTCTCTCGGCTCGTTTGCCTGAACCTGCTACGCTCAGCGCTTGCGGATGACGTTGGCTGACGTCATGAAGAGGGGGGGGGGCACGTTTGGGGGCTCATCGGGGTTTACCAAAAAATGAAAGAGCGTGTTTATCGGTTCGGCAACATTTCGGCGAAACAAACGTTCCGACATCGCACGACCCTTTGGCCGGAGAGAAACAAAATGATGAGACCACGCCCGTGTGTCCGCACATACTCCGAAATGTATCCACACATATACTACCCAAATACCCGGTACATACTCGCGTACCACATTGAAAATACGTTCGTAAACTGAGGGAGATTGCATGCCCTACGATTAAAAGGGTGTCACACACAAAACGCCCGACCAGTACCTAACACATATCATCTGCACCTTCCCAACATAACATATATGAGACACACAAGACAGCTACCAAACTGTCTTGTTGAGCCTGTTACCCGCAGGGGAGATGTCCCTATCTGCTGTCTGGGAAATCGTAGACTTACAGGTACTTTCTGACGCTATAAATCCATTGCTAATCTGTCTCCGACTCTTTTCTATGATAGAGATGGTTTCGTTGTGTCATATCAAGAAAAATAAAAATAAAATAAAATAAAATAAGAAGACTGGATCTAGGGCGGGGCGTTCGTCTCTATTGTAGCGAACAATGATACTCCTTGGAAGAACCCCAACAATACATTTAACGCCTTGAAGGTTTTTTTAGTATATCAGGAGACCGAACGGTTAATTAACAGCAACAACAGCCAACACTCATGTGATGCTACCAAAGATATGCACGCGGTGCTACCTGACTCTCGCCACCGCTGTTGGGAAAAGAAGATGAGGCGGTAGGCTCCTCAGGGCAGCCCCATCTGCCACAAGGTCCTACAGGAGAAGCACAAGGCAGGCGGTGCCTGTGGGACCGCTTGCAGGAAGATGCCGTCAAAGCACGACATGCTCCCGAGCCACCTACCAAGCCCTGCGAGACGAGCTCCTACGAAAGAGTTTGACTACCAAGATCTTGTCGGTAAGGTCTTTGCCCCGGCCACCGGTAGAGCCGTTGCTCGGCTCTGTGATTCTACTCTTTATTGCTCGTCATAGAGTTGGTCTGCTGCGGTGTTGAGCTTTCTCCTGCGTTGACGCAATGTACATGTATGTAGACATGTATGTATCCCAACCTGAACATACTTGCGTTGTTTCGCGGCTTGTCGATGGACACGTCCCGGGGCGCAGCGGACCCAAAATTTCACGCGGTGGTCGACGAGCACAGGAGAAATGGCTACTTCGTTGGCCTGGACAAGGGCACGCCAGGTGTGTGTGTCACAGGGATAGCAGCGGCATTTAGTTTGTGCTGGATGACGGATATCATCGTTGGATTCGCCAATGACTAAGTCTGGAGACTGCGGAACACAGATACAGCAGCATGTAGTCTGCTGCTGTATTCAGCATGTATAGTCTGCTGCTGTATTCGATTTCTTTCGATGGCACACTGCCTTGGACGCTTGGTGTACCTGGTTCACAGCAGCAGCACTTTCAGTAGCGATTCGGCTACGAGTCTCACCACCAATCCTTCTCCAAGTCGGCAGGGCACGTGTTCCCGGGCGTAACTCGCGAGCTGTTACAACAGTGTCGCTATCAATGGACGCATGCGCTTCTGTATGATTGCTCAACGAGATAAAGCATGATGTAGTTGATCTGTGCATACTGGAGTAGTCTACGTACGTAGTGACACTGCGGGTGGACAATTGCTGCAGATCAGTGGAGACCCGGAGAAAATAAACGTCAATTTCGAGTCGAGGCTCCGTTTCGTGTGCCAACGTCGAGTACAGAGGTTACTAGCTGTAAATTTGGCTTCGTGTTGGATTCTTCCTTAGCAGAGCTGTGTTTCTTCGCCCATTTTTTTTTGCCATGAAGATACTACAGCCTTGAATCTGTTTCTTGGAGAGCTGCTGACCCACACTGTACATACGAAAGTACACGCCATGATGCAATCCTGTCGTGATTGCAGCTGCAAAACTTCTTCCTTCTTGGTGGAGATACACGTTCCGCCGTGCGGGGTTTCTCGAAGCGTCAGCACAAGAAGAGTGTGGTGGTATTGAAATGTGTTGAGGTGCAACAGACAGCGTTTGATTGACCACGCCTGTTCTAAGCTTGTACAAGTAGTGCTGTTCAATAGATGCACCAAAATACTTCGTGTCGTTTGAAATAAACCCTGAAGATGCCCGGTTGACCACACCCTCTTGTGGACTTGCTGTGTAGAATACAACGCGAGGTTAAAAGAAGTTGCCGTGGCATTCGTGGGCGTGGTGAACGAGAAAAGGGTCACTCTCTTCAGGAACAGAGGTAAGGGGTATAACTACAGTTCTTGCCAGCTAAGAAAAAACAATTTGGTATGGCGGAGTCTGGGGTTCGTAGTTAGGGTCGGGCTACAGATGGTCGCAATGATACAAGCCTTAGTGTAGAGGTTCCTACCCGGGCTCATAAATGGTGCTCAAGTTCATAGGTATTGATATTTTCTTCTTCCATGTTTTTGTTGTTGTGCCTCTATTGTGAAGACAACACCGATGCTTCGCTGGGGACGTACAATCCGGGGTCCCACACAGGAGTTTCCGATCCGACGCGATACACTGTAAAAAACTGGATCACGGGGACGGCTCATCAATCCTCGTTTTCGCTGGCCACGCGTTGAAGTGGGAGTTTGGGACTAACACCGACGCAGAAGAACGCACTGCCGCTTGCGTCAGATAACCCATCAATGCAGCCGCGTCCCAAGCCGGTCGACAAATGTAACCGCCCCTTGCTGAGACTGTATGATCGTTTGAATGCTTCAGAAAATATAATTCAGAATCGCTCGACGGTTGTGGGCGAGAGAGAAGTCTTGGAATGCAGTTGGGATTGCCAGAGCGTCGACCATGCGAACCCGTTTGACGATATTAATTTCAGGAATCTTGAATGGGAGGAAGGGTGAGTTCCGAGAAGCTATCAGCTGCTACAACCGCGGACTTGAGCTATCGAGAAACAGCCCGTCCAAGCACGTAACTCTCGCAAACCGATCCGCAGCCTACATCAAGAGGCAACAGTTCGCGGAGGCGCTGAGGGACGCGCAGGAAGCCGCTGTCCTATGTGCCGACTATTCCATGTGCGTGTTAACCTCGTGTGCGGCAAGGCAACCGCGCCAATCAATGCCCACCTCTCGAGATCGTTTTAGTCTTGCCCTTCTGTTCATACAGGTGTGATGGAAGTTACATAATTAGAAAATATTTATTGGCCGTCCTGGTTGGGAGGATACCACAGTATCCACACTTGCCTTCCGTGGCCATTCTCTCCCGACATGTAGTCTATAAGCACCTAGGTGGCTAGCTTTTGGAGGGGATTGCTCATGATCGTTAGGTGGTGTTGTCATGGCAATGAGGCGAATTTTCTGAAAATTGTGTGCTTGTCCTTCGTTTTACTCCCTTCACCATTATTTCCATCAATGAAGAATCCGGAGAAATGTTCTAAGCTCTTCGGATTTTCAGGTGTTGGTCCTTGTCTTTGCGTGTGGCCTCGAGCTTGGCGCGATGTCTTAGCCTACCTAGAGAAAAGAAGGAAACCACCACTTGTTTATGTACTAAAGGGAAGATGCGCAAAAAGTAACGATGGATTTAGACACGAAGACGGCCGTTACTCCATGCTTAAAGGCACCCTACGCGGACCTTGCGTGGAGGATGTAGACTTAACTACTCGCGTTCTAAAGAAATGAAAAAAATCGGCTTGAAATGTTGCTTCAGCAGGAATTGAGTTGTATGAATAATTACAGCTCCAGGACCGCACGTGTCTCGACGGAAGTTGATTCGTTTCGCCGTGCCTGCCCTTGTTGCACACAGCGCACACTCTTTGATGGGGTACTGCCATTCGCGGCTCGGATTGGACAAGAAAGCCGTGGTCAATTATCACATGGCTCTGGAGCTCAACCCGATGGACGTGTCCAGTCAGAGCTTGCTCGCAGAGGCCAAGAAGAGTCTCCTTGCCGCAGGGGAGACTCCGGAAGCTGTCGATGCCCTCGAGGTAAACCAAATTCCAGCGATGATGAAAATCTTGCCCGCTCACGAGTGTTATTGAAGAAATAGGACAGCGTGAACCGAGTAGGAGTCCCGGTCATATGATTGAACTCGTCGAGGGCATGAACGCCCCATGTTGGCGATGTTGTCGTCATCGTTGTGGTCGTAGAACCAGGACGGAAAATACCTACGGGAAAGCCATACGCGTAGAGACGTGCGCGTACATGATGTAGTCTGCAATGATGAACGAAACCGGTTTCCCTGTCATCGTTTCACCGCACCCGGAACAACTACCTAGTATTTGTTACCGCCACATATGCATATCCGTTTTCACCCCAACATATATGACGACGGCTGATACGTCCACTAACTTACAGAAAGGCGATCAGACTGACGTCCAATACGAATGGGAAAAGACACGCATGGACGTGACTGCAAAAGACACAAGCTCCTCTTCGTGACTTCCTATGCAAAAAGGCTGCACTTCTTACGCAAATTATTGCACGGGCACATCGTGCACAAGTTCATTCATGGTCGTGATGTCCGCAAACCGAACAACCGACAACAAACATACAAGGCCCCTTTCGTCTCGAAGAGTGCCCGGAACCAAGAGGAGGCAGCGATCGAGGCGGCCGTGGCGGCGGCACTGGAGATGCCGGTCAAGCACCGGCGGTACCTCGACCACACAGGGCGAGCCGCTAGCATCGAGGCGATGGTGGTGAGCTGTTCAGCTTGAAATGGGTACTCAGCCGGTTTCCAGTGTTTTGTGGTATGAAGACAACTTAGGATGTTTTGACATGACAAGGTGAAGCTGAAGGGTTTGTACTCCACAGATGCATGTATGAATTAAGTAGTGTGGTCACCTCCGGTTACGAAACACATGAGCCAACCGACACGGTTTCCTGGCACCCATGGAGCAATGTGAACGCATCGAGACACTCTTTCTTTGCCTTCGTCCCTACCGTCCCTGTGGACTCCTCGGCCGGACCGGCTCTTGCATTCACCGCTCTGCCTCCACTGCCTGGTTCATGGGACCTGCATGCCCATGACCCCCCAACAAAAACGCGTCCCTCACGTTGAGACCCATACAAATACCCACTGCCCCCCCTTTTGCCTTCTTACACTCCCCAAACTACAGAAGAAGGCGGGCTCATCAGTGTCAGCATCGGAAGCGGCATCGGCATCGCCACCGGCAAGACGGCGTTTTAATAGTCGAAGTAGTAACGACACTAGTTCGCCGCACAAGAACGCCTCCAGAACGCCGGTGAGATTCCAACACTTTTCTTCCGGGGTGTGGTACGAGGCGCGAATGCTCAGACGCTACCAACGGAAGATGTCCGTCCGAGAGAGGGAGAAACCCTTCGACTGAAACCTGAAAAAAGACATCCTGTGAAGGTCGACCCCATGCTTTGTGAGACGGCAGTCATACGCCTGGGTTGCCGCGGCCGAGCCAACTTATGCATGAAAAGCCGACCTGGGGTTGAGAATATCCCACCGAAGTCGTGCTATCACAGCGGCAGAAAATTGACGACGGTGCGTGCCGTTGGTCGTATCGCCGGGAACACCAAACGTTACAGATTCTGAAGTCTGATGATGTGGGTGGCACACGAGACCCCCAAAGTGAAGAAGATGACACGTTCGTGCGCATGGCTACAGCGTTAACTGCAAAAAAATCATGAAGAATGCCCACAGTCGTTCCACCTCCCTGCGTCCCCCCCCCCCCCCCCGCGTCCAAACATTCACGCCAACTTCGGTCACCTCCGACGGATGCCATTGTAGCGGTTAGCGCGGAAGCTCTCGTCAGGCGCGCAGGCGTTGGCGTCTCTGACGCAGCTACCCGGCAAGCTCAAGCACACCATCGGGAAGAAAGCCCGGGGACAGTCAACATCGTCCTCAAGAGGTGAATAAAGGCCCCCCCAAGGATCATCCCAACTCACGGCGCGTTTACTCACAGTACCCTGCGATGCAGGGCTCCTGGCCATACCAGCCTCTTCCCACACCCTTCTCCCACTGTGTCATCCAACATTTTTTTTCTAAGTATCTCGCCTATGCGCGTGAAACCTACCGAGGCACGTACATCCAACAGGCTGACCGGAAACATTTGCACGAAGTTCGGCCCGAATTTGTTTTTGTTGCGGTACGAAAAACAAAGGTGCTGAAACCCACCCCAAATCTCTTTGTTTTGCGGCGCTAAAAACAAAGGTGTGGGGCTACAACACAGCCCGCCCATGGGAAGTGACTTCGCCGGGCTCTTCCGAGACGACTCGTTCGACGGTGTCCCCGCGCCCCGCTCGGCCGCCCCGACCCCAGGCACGTCGGCCGCCCCGCCCTCGACCGCGGGCAAGTCTTCCTCGCGTGGGGTACCGCAGGAAGGCTCCAACCCGCTGTTCAATGCCGGCGACGTACGCCGCCTGCGGTACGGGCTCTACGGCGGCCCCGGTAACGCCTCCGGGGCTGTTAGCCGTGTGTCGTCCGCACCTGACGTGCGCTTGATTGGTCACCCCCGGGCTGGGGGTGGGGACAGCGGTGGGGTCGTCGGCGGCGGAGAGGGCGGCGAGGGCGGGGGCGGCGGTGACGGTGGCACGGCAGGGTCTAGGCACGTCGGTGGCGCTGGCCAATCGGCGGCGGGCGGCCGTGCTCTCCGGAGTTCGGTCAGCGGGGGCGGGGCCACTGACCCGGATACCAGGTAGGGTTCCGGTCCAGTCGATCTAGAAACCCTGGTTTCCGGGACGACGCAATGACTCTTGTCGGGCACCAAGATGCAAAGATAAAATGTTGATGTTCGGCCTGATGTCTTCGACCAGACATCGCAGAACGGAAGGAACGTTGTTTCCAAGCTCGGCTACGCAGTGAAGACAACGCCGAAAAAACACATATTCTGCGGTTGCTAGCCACTCGTTTTCGCCACGTGATGCGTCTTGTTTGACATATTGTAGGTTGTCCCTGCCTGCAATGTTTCGTTGCTGCTGGCTTGACACGGATGGATCGCGCTGAACCGGAGCTACGGAAAAGAGCATTGCCGTGAAGCACCGGCGTTGTCCCCCTCCAAGTCTCACTATCGCCGCAATCGGTTTTCGATCGCACCGGTGCCAATCTCTAACACAGGAGAGCGTGTCTCGCCGCCCCTTACCCTTTCAACCCGTGTGTTTGTGCGCTACTGGCCGGAAACCCCTTGCAGGGGTGGTCGGCAGCTCCAACACCAGCAGAAAAACAAGCAACAGAACAAGCCCCGATCACGCGGGGCGTCGCTGGAGGCCACGCCTCGCACCGCGCCCGCTAAGGCGACCGGCGACCGACGCCCTGGTGCTCACACGTCGTTAGCTCGGCAACTGGAGGACATGGCCCGAAGAAAGGACGCCACCAACCGTCGCCAAGGAGAAGCGGCAGGCGGAACCGCAGGTGCTGGTACCCCTGCTGGTACCGCCACTGCTGCTGGCGATGCTGGAAGGGAACAGTCTAAGACCTTCGTGCAATCCGCGCGGGCAGACGGCGACAGGGCGCCCCTTGTTCCGCGTGCCGCTCCGGTGAGAGGCGGCAATTCTGAACCGGACCCGAGTTCTCCCGTGCGAAAGCCCGACAAGAACGAGACTCCCGCGACCACGGTGCAAGTCACGGTGAGAATGAAACCGCCAGGATCGCAGCGGCAGCATCTGCAGCAGCAGCAGCATCAACAACAACAACAGCAGCAACAGCAAAAACAAAAACAACAGCAACAAGAAAAACAGCAGCAGCTGTTATCCGGCCAAAGATTTGACTCGCTTCCGCCAAGCGTGGGGGCGATCACAGACGGGAACTGCCGCCGGCAGGGGAAGCCGTCCCGGCTCGTTCCCCGTCCCAGCTGGGTACCGGAGAAGAGCGGGTACGCGTCTTCGGAGTCGAGCTTGTCGGAGGGGGGTCCGATGTGCTCGAAGGAACCCGAGACCGTAACAGCGGCGACGTCAATGTGCGGGGCTGGTGGTGACGACGACCGGGCTCAGCAATCGGTCGCCGTGCCGACGGTCAACCAGACGCTGCACCTCGAGGCGGCAGCGAACGGGAAGCAGCAGTGGCGCGATGTCGTCGCCAGGTCGCAGGGCAAGATCGGCTGGACCACGTCTGATTCGGCGCCGGAGAAGGCCGGCTGGACCACTTCCGATTCGAGCTCTGATGCCGAACAAGCGGAACGCGAGGGGGAACGCAGAGGAGAAAAGGAAAGAAGCGGATTGCCCTTGGACTCTTCGGCTACATCCGAGGTGGGCACCGTAGCCCTTCCAAGAGGGCGGAGGATATCTTAGCCAGCTGCCAAGGCGGAAGTTTCTTCCGTGTAGTACTTCCATTACCGTTACACGATGCCAACGCTCCTTATTGGTCGCCTGTGAGAAGTTGTCCGTGACAGGTTGGCACATGAAGGAGGAAGAAGGGGGCAGGTAGAGGTTATTGTTGGGCTCGGTTGTGTTGCATGTGGCTTTTGTTGTCCACCGCTGGATTCGTAAGCACAAGACGTTATTGTACCCTCATCGCCTTGCCAATGACTCTGAAAACTGAGTACACAGCCACATCCAACACAAACAGCAGCGATGCTATCAATAACGACGACGATGACGACGCCCATGCCATCATGGCACAACCGCAGGTAGTAGTCCGAGAAGACGGGGTGGAGGCAGATGGAGCGCTGCGGAGAATGCTCGACGGAGATTCGGACTGTGGTTCCGTCCTACCCTTACAAGATAATTCCATGGAAGGGGAGAAAAGGCCTCGGCGGCTGGAGGGGAAGCATGCACAAGGTGGGAGGATACTACAGGAGCAACAGGTTGAAAGGCAGAAACCAGCGAGAACACAGAGGGTCGGAGCTCAGGTTCCCGGCGGAGAAGAAGGGATCACACGGAGCCCCCGCGGGACTAGCGAAGCGAGAGACTCCACCGATGGGCCACCGGATGGAGGGGGACAATCGAAGGAGCCTGCTGCTTCCGCTACAACTGCCGTTGGTGCTTGCGAGGTGACTTCGTCGACATTGGGCGGCACCACCCCCCGCGACCCCAAGAGCCCGACCGCCCTCTCGAAATCCGTGTCGGTTCGGGCCAAGATCGAGATGTTCGAGCGAACAGCCCGGTCGGCCGCGGGAGAGGAGGGGAGGAATAGAAGCAGTTCCTTGGGGACACCGGCAGCGTGCCACCGGCAACCCCTGGGGCGCTCGCTCTCGGCGAAAGCGAGCGCCCGAGAGTGGGCCTTTTCGGCAAGCGTTGACCGCTCTCAACAACGGTCGGCTGTCGAAAACGGTGGCTTGGCCAGAGCGCTTTCCTTCTCGTCGTCTTCTCGGTTGGCAAGGGGTGGTGCTACGCCCGGCTTTGTGGCCAACACGGCGGACCCTCCCATCCTCCCGACAAGGGAGTTGTGAGTTCAAACGGATCTTGATAATCTGGACTGCCGCGACGGTGGTGTCAGCACCGCACGTCCGCTAGCAATTGTTCCTGTAGGTGGGTGGCGGTGGTGGCGGTGGTGGTGTTGTTCTTGTTGTTACGGTGGGGTGGTGGTGGTGGTTGAGGTCGTGGTCATGTCGTAGTTGTTGCTATTGTGTTCTATATTGTTTTTTGCTGCTATGCGTTGAGCCGGCCGTGCTCCTCGTGGCAGGAGTGGATGAAGGCTAGCGCTTTCGCGAACGGTGCACGGATGTTCTTCGCTCAATGCGATCAGTCACTTCAAACCATTTTCTTTTTGCGACAATCCTCTCCAGCCATTGAAACGTGCAGGAACTTCACATAAAACCTGCCGTCCCGAAGGCGGGACGGGGTTAGTACGTGACCCCCTATTGTTTTTTGGATTATATAATCTCCAAGGAGAACTAACTTCGACTATTCTGTCTGCTACAACGGGTTTGGCACCGCTGGAAGCATTAGAAGGGAAGTATCGGATATTTAGGGGTAGTGGAGACAGATACGTTAGAAAATACCAGAGGCTTGTGCGCCGCGGGGCTCGTGCCTGGCTCATCGAAATCTCCTTCCACAAGGGGCGATAAGGAATAAGAGTCAATTTATTGCAAGTATAATGAACAACGAAGAAGACGTGTCCCATCCACCAGTGTTTTAAGCTTCACAGATGTCTCGAGGCCGAATATTAGAAGGGGATACATGGAGGATTCGCGGATTATTCAGTAGGTCCTACGGGCAGCCTTGCACCTTTGTGTCGCCGTGATGGGTAGTATCACCTGTATTCCTGCTCTACCTATTGCCGTACCGTTTCGCCACGTGAGGAAGCCACAAGTCACGTGCTTGCCTCCGTCTCTTTCAAAATGACTCGGGAAGCGAACACACGTCTGCCAAGTCGGGTCCGGTAGCTAACGAAACGCATTATTATGTTTGTCTAGCGGTGTTGCTTTCGCTGGCATTTTCTGGTCGAGACGAAGGCCACGTTGCGCGCACCACGGTGTCATATACAGTCGGGGTAAAAAACAAAGGGGGTGGTGGGGCAGCTGATAATGACCGCTTTGTGTGAGGCAGCCGTGAGGCGATCGCCTTATCAGACCACTTTATCCGGGGACCCCCACTGTAGTGTACTGCTGTTCACTGAACGGAAGATGGCCGGGACTCTGGGTGAAACTGTCAGGCTAGGGAACGTATCCCGACCTTGCCCGAGAGATGGTATTAACTCCTCTAGGCAGCGCTGCCTAGCGCGTCACGTCCCCTTACAGGCGACGGGTCTGTTTCCGGATTGGCTAGAGAAATTCACATGGGCGGATACAATAGTGGCTTTCACTCTGTATCTCCAAGCTATTGTCCGCACCTGAAAAAAAGGATCAAACAAGAGACGCAATTATTGCTCGAAACCGGGTGATATGCTCCTAGCTAACACGCGCCGTGGAAGCCCCTGAATGGTGCACATGCCTGATGCAGATCTTCCGTGTCCAGGCTTGGGGCCGGCGGCGACGCGTCAGTAATAATAATTTGAGCAATTCTGCCCGATGAGCTCACGGAAAAATCTGCCTTATCATCATTGCAACCAAATCTACGATTTACACTACAACTCGAATACATAATCTCCTTGCCCCCCCGTCCCCGACACACAAATATCCACAAACACGCCATCGCCCCGCTGTGACTACCTTTGTTCATGTTGACAAGATTCCTTTAGGCTGCCTTCGTAATCTACAATACTTCATTCTACGCTTCAAGATGCAGCATTTCTTCCCGTGGGCCGTTCTGAACCACTCATCCCTCTCCCTGGCGTCGCACTGACTCGCGATTTCTTGAACGTACATCCTGTGGAACACGTAAAAACACCTGATCGCTGCGCTCGTTGGGCAGCACGAAGGCAAGATCTGCCCTCAGCATAATCTCACTATATTGTACATAGTCTACGTGCCACAGACCTACGTTACAACTAAACCACCTACGATCGGGCTTAAACCTTGCTCGGGCATAACAAACACACACGTCAAATAAACCATCCGGCAGGTGAAAAACGCCGCATTGAGCCCCCCATATCATAAAGATATCGACCTCCTTGTTTCCATCAGCAACAATAACAACACCGGAATTCCCGAAAAAGCACTCCAAGATTTTTTTGTGGGAAACCCCGACTGCCGTGTATGAGAAGAAAGGTCATGTTTGTGCGCCAAAACTGTCGGACATTATTCTTGTTCAGTAGCAGAAACGAACGCTATCCGCTGCAATCGTTTGCCCGGTGACGAAGGTCGCCCTGTCCGACATGAGGTGGGCCACCTGCTCGGGTAGTTGCGGAGGGCGCATCGCGTAGAAATAGGAGAAGATGCCACGTCACTCAAGGGATTATCGTCAAAGCAATGAATACGGCAAGCAAGCGTACCGCAAGAGGTGGTGTCATCGAAATTGTGGCATCACTGTCTGCGGAGGGCTCACCACTTGAAATATGTACACGTAAATAGCAGTCACGCCACCACTACCGGCAGTGTCAAGCAATCAAGTAGAGATATTCATCTCAACAAGGGGGGACACTTGAACTTGAGGGCGGTTACATTGCGGCACAGGGAAGGCCATGGGGCAATAGGTTTTCGGCCCCTAAGGTGCTGTAGGCGTGTGGAGCTGCTCCCATAATTCACCCGTGTGGGAATCATCGTATGCGTTGTGTGAGATGCCTATTCCCTGGGTCGCTTTCCGAGCTCTACGTCATCAGTAAGGGAGAAACTGGAACAGTATCTGTCAACGAGCTCCCAACGATGGGTATTGAACATGGAGACTACCTGCTTGCGTAGGGAATACAGTATCTGCGGCGCGCTATTGTTCATCCCCAAGTAGTGGAATCTTCGTCGCAGTATGGAGACGAGATACCGCAGGGGAAAGTGTAAGGCGCTTTGGGCACATCGATGCTCCTGCCGTGGAGAAAAGAGGCTGCTCAAAAACTTGTTTTGACCTGTCGGAATCGTCCACCAGCCATGTTGTGTTTGGGAATGATTTCACAGCGAGCCATCTTGTTGGCCGATAGAGTCAAGTGGAAATGTCCCAAAACCGTGAGTGGATGAGGTACACTGCCCGGAGGTACTCAATGATGCGGAAAGTGCATATTGTTGATACTCTCGGCCGGCTTGACATCCGTCGAAACTCCACTACCCAAACGTGAGTGTCGACCTTTACACGGCTGACTTTAAACCATGCAAAGATAGTCCGACTTCCACTACCGAAAACCTCCGAGGAATACGTACCTACCCAGCAAAGTCATGCTGCAATAAGGTACTCTTGTTTTCTCAGCAGGACGGACTCTCCGCACACATGCGAGTGTCCTTTCACCTGCATGGCCACGTCCTCCGCCGACGGAGTCCGCATTGTGGCCAGCGAGAAGGTCCCGTGCCCCCCGCGGATGCGCCCGTCGTCCTCTTGTCCCAGGGCGTGGGTGACGCAGTTCACGCGGACCCCGTCGGGACCGGCGGCGGCCGCAGCTGACGAAGTCAGCGACGAGATGGCCACGACGTTGCCGGCGCCGTCGGTGAGCCCGCGATCCCCGGCATTGGCCACGAAGACCACCGAGCCACCGACTCCCGTCATGGCCGCGGCCGCTTGCTTCGCGCACAGCATTGGCGTCTGCATCTCCGCGACCAACATGTCCTAGAGAAAAAATGTGACGATGGTCGCGGGTGGTTAAAGGAGAAACAGTCCAATCGCGGGGCTCCCAGATGGAATTGTATGGAGGGAGAGCGGAGATGGCACTCAGAGCGGTGGTGCATCGATTCAGAACGTTTCTGTTGTTGTTCAACACGTATGGTGTCTCCATCGCCACCATCCCTGTTCGTTCTCCTCCGGTTACACGCTTCGAAGCATGTCGAGCAAACGGATCATCATCATCGGTGCTACGGTCGTGCAAGGATGTCTTGACTTATCTCCAGACCAAATATGGTACACCTTGTATTTCAACCATGGTTTCTGTCGTCTTGCCACTATACAAAATTTGCACCTTATAGCTCTTGAGGTCGAGGTCGTGCAGGCGTCCGTTGGTCTTGGAGTCGCATGTCGGAGGAGGCGGCGGAATGTTCACGAGACCGTCGATGGCTCCGAGGGTCTTGACGGTTTCAGCGAGAGCCTTCTTGACGCTGGTCTCGTCCGTGAGGTCGGCATCGATGTAGATGGCCATGCTCTCGGAGGCGTCTTCTCCGTCGAGACCCTTAACCTGCGCCGGTGCGTCGATGTCAAGACGAGGGGAGGTTCGGCGTCGACAATACCAAAAAAAGGTTGTTGTCGAAGCCCGAACAAACTGCGACATAGGTAATTGGATTCTTGCTGTGACGCCCGCCCTGGTAAAGCTGTTTTTTATTTCCCCGCCTATCTATCACGCGCCAGTTTTCAAGGTCGTTTCAATGTGTGTATTCTTACCCCGGAATGGATAACGCCTCGCCGGCCACGGAGGTAAGGAAAAACACACACCTCAGCCGACAGGAGCTACCTCAACTCGTTTACACCGTGGCATTTACCGGTTCAGAGTTATTTCGTTCTACAACCCCGCTACACCAACATTTTCCCACCGTGCCCTTCCTTTGGTTCATCGTTATATATATTTGTTCTACGACCCCGCTAGACCACCTTTATTCAACCTTGCGTTGGCCGGGTCATGGATATTTCTATCCCACAACCCCCCTACACGACGACTGGTTCACACCTTGCCCTTGGCCGAAGCGGAGTCGGCGTCGACCACGGCCACCTTGGCCCCTTCCTTGACGAGCCGAGAGGCGATGTCCGGGCCGACGCCCTTCGCGCCGCCGCACACGACGACCACCCTCTTCGCCAGCGCTTGGCCCTGCTTGGCGAGCTGCTTCGCCTCTGCGAGCTCGGCCTGTACACACCGCAGGAGTCGCCGAACACGGCGGGATCCTCAATGTATGCATTATTGTTCGAGCATTTACAGCTCCCAGCCATTCCACCAGCAGCAACAATGGCCTTAAGAGATGCCCGCCTGCCTCATCTCATCTCTTGCGCACTCGAAAAGCAATTGTGAGGGAAGTCCGCCCATTGAAGGGATTGTCTCGGTTGTACTACCGGCTGGTGCGCCATGCCGTACCCCGAATAGAGCAACCCCAGTTTCACGCAAGCAAATTTTGTACCGCACTTGAAAAGCATCGGCAAACTACTTGGAAACACACATTCCTCTGCACTGAAAGTGGTAGCAGTCATCCAAAAGAAATTGATCAACTAATGTGCATCTACGGTAGACCTCGTCAACAACCCGGGAAACTGCATGATAACCTATTTACTCTGTCCTGACAAAAGCCGGTAGTCATTAAAAAAAACATCGCGTCTGAACCTCGCCTCAACAACTCACCCGGAGCTCGTTGATCTCCCCCTGCATCTTGATCCGCAGCTCCTCCATCTGGGCCACCAGCTGGGCCTCCCGCTCGGCCCGAGCGGCGGCCTCTCGGCGGTTCTTCGTTACCGTCCAGATGTAACGCCTGGCCAGGCGCTGGATGCGGCACGCGGCGAGGCCGCGCAGGCGGCGGGTCCCGTCTCCGGCGGCCATCAAGCCTGGTGGCATCGATCGATCGAACGTCAAAGTCACGCCGTGACATTGTCTTGGGTGTATCACAAGATCATTGTCGGTGAACTCCTGCACGGTACTGTATTTCGAGTTGCTATGACCTACGTTTGGGCGCATCCTTTTCGGTGCGCCCTTGTAACGTTGGGTTGGCTTGGTCAACGTTTGGCAGCTAGTGGCCAGGGACGCCGAGATGTTAAAGTGGACAGACCCAAGGACAACGTTCAGTACTAACGCTACGTCTATTTGTGGTTCTCGTCGAAGCAAATAAGATATGAGGAGAATTGTTTCGAGTTGTGTTGTGAGTCCCGCAGAAGCCTACTCTCGTGGGAACCTCATCACGGGTGGAGTTTTCCCTGCTCAGAATTGGTGTTGCCCCGCAAGCAATAAGACGGAAACAGGCACTGGGTTGACCAGAATAGAGGGCGGGGGGGGGGGGGGGGGGGGGTGACAGAAAAAAACTCCGATGGAATCCTTTCCTTTGCAACAGCTTTCTGGACTACATAAAACGGCCAAATCCACCGAAGCCAGACGAGAGAGAACACCGGATCGATTTTGGGAAAACAGCTACTGATCCGCCAGCTGGTCGTTGTTTTGTGTTTCAAATTGGACTACAAAGATCGAATCCGACGCAACCAGAGGACAGTGTACACGGAATATACTTTGCGAAAATAGTTAAGGTACTGTATTGGCAGCTGGTCGCTGTTGTGTGTTTCGAATCGGACAAAATTCGTCAAATCCGGCGCAGCCAGAAGAGCGTGTAAACCGGATCAATTTTCTGAACATAGTTAAGATATTCTTCTGCCAACTGGTTGTTGTTGTTGTTGTTGTTGTTGTTGTTGTTGTTGTTATTGTTGTTGTTTGTTGCAATTCAAACCTTTCTGGATCAGGAAAGCGCGGCGGCAGCTCACGCCGCGCCAGAAGGTCTGGACGATGGTCGCCGACCTGGAGACGATCGTGGTCCGCAGCTTCTCGATGCTGTTGAAGGCCTTCTGCTGGAAGAATATCTGTATTTTTCATTGTTTTTGTTTGTTTTTAGTTCGGGGAGGGTGCGAAGCGTTGCGGTTTCATTTTTTGGTTCTGGAGAAGTGCGAAAACGTGTGTACATGGTCAGCGGGAGAAGGCTACGGATGTTTAAAGAGAGGTTTTGCAGCGCGAGAGGCGACCCACACCGTACAGGCTTCTGACGTTGGAAAGGAGGAACGAGTGACCGGATGCAAAGACAACACTTGGGAAGGCAGCGGTGGGTGAGAATTCGATGATTTTTAACCATCTTTACAACACGAGGTGATATTTGAGGTAGAAGATTGTCTGTGTCGCGAGACGGACGGAGTGCTCGAAAAATTGACGGCCATCGCGGGCAGTAGGAGAGATTACCCTTGGGAATCTGAAGGATATTCGCAGCAGATGTCGCCTGGGGAGCTCTTCGGTCGTCGACTTCAAACCGATGCCTCCGGTCGACGTTTGCTAACCCTGAAATCAATCTACAACAAAAACAATTTCTAAGTTTTGAAACATCTCGATTGTCGTAAGGCGTTCTCGCAATTCTCTACAACATCGCAAGGCTACTCAAGACCTCCAAACACAGACCAGAGGTCCTCGAACCTTAGTGAGACCCATCTGCATCCCTTGTTCCCGGCAGATCTCCTGGAAATTCCCGGCGGAAGACGGAGATCCAGGCTTAAGCTTTTCCTGGGCATGAGTAGGAAAACGATGGGTATTTGGCGTTCGACATTGCTGTTGTAGTTGTAGTTGTTGTTGTTGTTGTTGTTGTCGAGATATTTCATCGCTTGTCGACGAATAGTTACGCCGGAGCTTGTCCTGGAAACAGGCCGACAAAGCTTTCAACACGTACAGAGGCACAAGGCGTCTTCTACCTACCCTGACTGAATAGCCTGCCGCGACTTCCGGCACGTCAGTGCAAAATGGAAAACGAAAGGCACGCGCAATGATGTTCTCAGTGTACCTGGATGGCCATGATGGGAGTCTTGCACACGGACATAAGAAACAACAAACAACTTCGTCATCAGTACCTGGACGGCCATAGTGAGAGCCTTGTACATGGACAAAAAAACAACCCAACAACATCGTTGTCAGTGTACCTGGATGGCCATGATGAGAGCCTTGCACACGGAGCGCTCCTGATCCAGCTCCGCGTCGTGGACCGCCCTCCGGTAGGCGGCCTCGACGACCCGCGCGCCGAGGAGAGCATAACGCTCGACGAACTCGTGCAGGCCGAGGCGGACCGGAAACCCGGCCCTCGCCACGCGGACGACCTCGAGGACGCCGGCGTTCCTGAGCTGCTCGGCGATGCGGACGTAGTTGAACCTTGCGGGGATCAGCTGGTCGTTGGGCTTGATGCACCTGGGTTGTGACAAAAGATAGGCGATGGTGAGGTGTGGAAGAGTTGGTGGGGTCGGGCAGTACGCTGTGGTAGGCGCCGCGAAGACGCGTGGAGGCGACGAAAATGGCGGTGGCAGCGTCAACGTCCACAACAGCAACAACAGCAACAACGACAACAACAACGACAACAACAGCAACAACAGCAACAACAACAACAACAACAACAACAACAACAACAACAACAACAACAACAACAACAACAACAACAACAACAACAACAACAACAACAACAACAACAACAACAACAACAACAACAACAACAACAACAGCTGGCAGCAGAAAATTCTATTTAAATGCATAGCCATCCGCCTTTCAACGACTTTGACAGGGCGTACCGGACGTAGTGAGGGTGCGTCAGGTTGACGACACCCAGCAGGTTGTTCAGGTTCTCCTTGAACTGGGTTCCTAGGGACTTCGCCCCGATGGTGCTCCGGCCTCCCCCTCCTGCACGCGTTGACGAGCGGGGGGCACGCAATACCGAGGGAAAGAGGTACTCACAGCCGTGCATGCAGTATTCGTTAGACCATTGACCTCGCGTCCCTACAATTCCGGGTTCTTCATCGGACCAATTTAGCACATCACCAAGCGCGAAGCGCCGTGAATCCGTGAGGGGGGAGGGGGGGGAGAATCTCATGTATGGGAAGAGGAGACGGGGGAGACGTCTCCAAGTGGGAAATGGTCCTTCGCTCCCGTGGGTAATGATGAAGGGCAGGAAAAAGCTCACGAAGAACCAGAGAGTCGTTTGGCATCGCACTGTGACAGGAGGTTCAGTTTCCTCCACGTTGACTCACGATGACCCAGGTGTGGGTGTGTTTCCTTTGAAACATGACGGTTTGGCTAGGTCTCTATCGTCCCGAGCGGCACGAATCTACGTCACTATTGTGTCCAGATGAAACAACTTTCAGAATGTGGGGGCGAGATAACCTAGGGAATGAACAATCCTCTGGGGGGGGGGGTCCCCACCTCCGCGGCGCCCCGTGGACTTAAGAATGCTCTCCTTGGGGGCTTCATTCTTGTTGGCCTCTATGGCGCCCAAGAAAACGGTGAAAGGGATCTCCCAAGAAATGAAGAAGTCCACACCCTCCTGTGGAAAGTTGTCCCTGTTCTTCTCGATGATGCCCCTGGTGTCGTACTCCACGTCCCCGGCGTAGTGCTTGATGCCGAAAAGGTGGTCGACGCGCATCTTGGGCGAAACGAAGAACCTGTGGCGGTGGGCGGACGGATTGGGTATTGATGACACCGATATTGTAGGAGTTTTTCGGTTGCCTTGTTGCGTCTCCAAAACTGAAAAAAAAAAATCCAAACTACATAAAGGCACAAGACACACAGTGTTTAAGCGATCCCGAGGCAAAGGTCAATATAGAGTGCAGGGGCTATTAGGAGAAATGGTGGTGCCGGTGTCGTGTTGCTGCTGCTGTTGGTAAAAACGATGGCGTTGCTGTCTGTTCGTTTTGTCGCCCGTACTGGCATCAAGGCTTTCCTATTCCCTATCGGCGCAGCCGGAACCCCGACAGACCACGCTCTCGCGGTCAACACAACCAGAAAAAAGTATGCGGTCCAACACCAAACATTCACAGAAGTAGTGCATGCCACACAAGGATGTTTCAAACTTGACTGCACTCAGGTTGGTGGCCCTGGTCCACCTTCTCGACGCCAAAAACGAATATATTGACGTCAATTATGTCAATACTCGGTGGGTTTCAGTGTCGTATAAGCTATCAGAGGGCAACGGAGACTGGGCGTCCTATACCAACAACAATTGTCACAATTACGACTACGACGACGACGACAACCACATAAAAACATCGTTGTTGTTGATGTTGTCGTTTTTACGCATAAACCGTTCCGGTCTCCGCTAAGGATACCCGCACTGGTCCAACTGACGCCGATATCTTCTTCATGAGCACACATAAGCACTATGTCACCAGACCTGCTGTTGTTCTCGCTCTTCTTGTAGAGCTCGCGGGCGAAGCGGTCGTCCGTGGCCCTACCGATGATGCACTGCTCGTCGAGGGTGGGGATGATGCCGTTCGGCTTCTTCTCGATGAGGGTGATGCAGTCCACGTTGTCCGGGAAGTGAATGAAGGTCCACTCCAGCTGCTCGCGGCGGTACTCCTCCTGCCGAGGGGGGGGTGTAGATGTGGCACGAAATTTGCAGATGTTATGGGGTTGCTGTTGTTGTTGGTGTTGGTGGTGGTGGTTTCGTCGTCTTTTGTTGTCGTCGAAAAAACAACAAGCAAGATACCCACGCTTAGACGCACGCCTTCACGAACCTGTTCCTGCCGGAAGACGAAGTCGTTGAACTGCTGCTGCAGCACCTCGTTGGCGTAGTTGATCAAGAACTGCTCATAGAAGTTCTCCGCGAACACCTCGAAACCGAATATGTCCAGCAGCCCGATAAACCTGCAGCGTGGACCCGCAGATACCAAGCTTCAAAATTACTACACGTGCGGCGTTTCATACGAGGGATATCACCGGTGGGGACATCGTAGTATTACTTCGCCAATGTACGTCGGCCCTCTCCTCGACAAGCAGTGGATCATGCATGACTTGCGCTGGCGGTCACGATTCAATGGTAAAACGTCGGTTTGGAAAAACAATGTAAACGATGCCGTTGACAGCACTCCCTATAACATCCGATCGTAGAAGGAAATTACTGGGAGTTTCAACTAAATAGCGAAAGCGGTGGCGGCAGCCGCCAACAAACCAACAACATCAACCATCGTCAGGCGTCAACGACCACCCACATCTTGTCGGTGTTGAACTCCGCCCCGCCGTTCACGCCCGCCGCCGCAACCGCCGCCCCACCCACCCCGTCCGCAACCGCCGCCGCCGCCGCCGATGCGTCATCTCCCTGGATGCTCTTGTTGGTGTGGGCCACCACCCACGAGAACATGGCGGCGTAGAGGGCCTTGGCCATGGCGTCTCTCGCGTGCGCGGACTGCTCGGGAGTTCTGGAGAGAACCAGGCGGGCGCATGAGCGTATCGACAGGTAAGGAGGGTGGGTGGAAGGGTGGACGCTGGGGCTCAACGCTTACGAGGGAGAGGTTTGCGACGCGGGTGGTGCCTTGTTGTCGTCTCTCATCCCTGGGCATGAGGGCTTCCACGATTGATTCCCTGCACGGGAATTTTTCGCTTCTTCCGTCTCATTGATTTTCTCGACACCGGGGTAAGGGTACAACGTGGGAGGACTTTCGGGAGGAGGGTAAAACCTGCAGCCATGTATGTAGGAGGAATACAACGGAAACTGTCCCCTCACCTGCGATTGACTAATTCCTCTGCCTGATACTCTACCGAGGAAAATGAACTATTCGGTGGGGTGTCGAACGTTGAAATCCCCGTTCTGGAGACAGAAGGGCATTGCACGAGATGTCGTTGTAGACTCGAGGGGGCGTCACGACGTGCATGCTCGCTGGTGTAATCACCCCAATAGGGGCGAGGTATTCACACAAAAGAAGTTCGAACTGGCATAAGCTTTGTTGTGTGGGGGGTCTAGAGACAACAAGCAGGTTGGTGCTGGAACAGTATACAGAATATGGTGACGTGGGTGTTGCCCGCGTTAACCTCCCCGTCGGCGACGCAGCTACTACACACAGTTTGAAAGCGGTAATAGCTGGGTTTTGATTGGCATGAAGAGGGGATACACAGCTGGGACTCACAGGAAGATGGTGACGTGGGTGGTTCCCGCGGTCACCTCCCTGGCGGCGAGGCAGCTACAACACATAGTTCGACTGGCTTTCCAGCTGTGTTTTGATTGGCGTCAAGAGGGGTCCACAGCTGGAACTCACAGGAAAATGGTGACGTGGGCGGTACCCGCGGTCACCTCCCCGTCGGCGAGGCACTTGCTACACAAAAGCTCGAAAGGGGAGAAGCTGTGTTTTGATTGGCGTGAAGAGGGGACACACAGCTGGGACTCACAGGAAGATAGTGACGTGGGTGGTGCCTGCGGTCACCTCCCTGGCGGTGAGGCAGTGGGCGAGGGTGTCGGCCGACACCCCCAGCAGCCGGGCCGCCGTCTTCATGGCCCCAAGGGAGCTCTGTTTCAGACGCGCCTGTTTTTTTCAGTTCCGAGAAGTTGGGGACGAGGAAACGCACACGCTTTTTTGGTCGGTTTAGGTGGATGGGGAAAGGGTCAGCGGGGTGTTGATGCTGGCCCAGCAACAGAGGGAAGGGTAATCGGAGAGTTGGTGCTGGGGTCGACACCATTGTAAATTTCTGTCATCGGCGAGCTAGATCCGCTACCGTAAGGTGCGGGTCCGTGTTCGCGAAGCTCTTCATGCTCCGAAATTCCCAGAGCAAGGCTCGACCCCTCGCGGCCTATCAAAGAAGGACACGGCACGGTTGTTTCTAGCCAAGAATAGCACAAACAACGAGAAACTTCGTTGCATCAGAAATTAACCTAAGCCTAAGCCTAAGCCTAGCCCTTACCCTAGACCTAACTCCCGATCAAGACAAGCGCAGTGCGGCACGACAAATGTGACAAACCACCCGGGCTAACCTGTTGCTGGTCATCCCTAGCGCCTGGGATTTCCTCGAACTCGAGGTTGCCGAGGGCGAGGATAGACGCCACGCATCCGAGGCAGTCGTTCTGCACCGCCTTGTCGAACCCCATGGTCGAGAACGCCTCCTGGAGCTCCACGTGGAGGTCGATGTCCTTGACCCCGTCGCGGCGGTCGTAGCAGCCCGACTGGTTCATGTAGTGGTAGCTCCCGGCCGGCTGTAGCTCCCAGTTCTCGCGGTCCTTGGGAGACGCCCCGGCCGCCATGATATAGAAGATGTGGTAGTTGCGCTCCAGCTTGGACTGCTTCACCACACGGATCTTCTCCAGCAAGAACGTCTACAATGAGGTGGGTTTCGGACGTGTGGGGAGGGGTGAATGGGGAGACGGGCGATCAAGGCTAGATGAGATTGATTATTGGAGAATTGATGCTGATGTTCGGCTTATTCGGTCAGCCTCCGAACGGGAATGACTCCTTAACGTGCACCAATGTTTCTGGTACCAATCATCTTTCCCCTTTGTTGATCTTTGGCTGGATGAATTCCGGCAGGCTCCCGACGGGCGCAATGCCTCTAGGAACTCTGTTGTGTTGGGGGAAAAGCTGTATAATTCGGAGAAAAACTGTTTGGCTCATTGAGCTTGGGCGGGCTCTGAACAGGTATGATGCCTCCGTTAGCGGAAACCCCGGGTGTGAGTCTACGTACGTACTCACGCACCTTGATGGCGGCCCCGGCGAGCTTGCCCCTGTCGCTGAAGAGAAGCTGGATGTACTTGCCGAAGCGGCTGGAGTTGTCGTTTCGGACGGTGCGGGCGTTACCGAACGCCTCCAGGATGGGGTTAGACTTGAGCACCCTCTTTTCGACGGTGCCCAGCTTGTTGTCGTCACCGGCGGCGTTACCGAGAATGGCCAGGTACTGAGAGAGGGACGAGCACACCACAACGGCAAGCAAACACAGCTTTACCTTGAGTATCGTGTGAGCAAAACGTAGAAATACAATACTTTCCGTAACAGGATTACTGGTGTAATGTAATGTACTGCGCTTGAGAATTGCGTCTTGAACTCAATATCCTAGACATGTTCGATCCCCCCCCCGGTGGCGTCGACAAGCACTTGGAGGGGCTGAACACAGCGGCGAAACGACAACTATCGACGTTTTACGAATTGGTGTTCCGCGCTGGAAGACACAGGAGCGATATATTGAACAAAGAGGGGCACGTTTGTAAGGATGGGGATCGTGCTGTCGAATTCCAAAGAAACAGGGACAAAGAAAACGTCGAGGAACAGGGCGAAACGCGGGGGTGGCAAACCGCGCGGAAGCATATCGTCGTGTCGTAAAACAACTTGGTTGCAAGCCGAGCAGCCGACGACCGGCCGTTGAACTATTTAAGTGAGAGGAGGGATTTGCCATGAGTGATTCCCGAGGCTGGGACGCGTGCGTCGCGCTTGTCTTTCCTCGCCACGGTTGCCAGTAGATACACACGATGGACTCGCAAGACCTCCATGCTGGCTTTACGGGGTCACTTTTTGGTTCGTTTTTTGTTCCATTCGACCGTGCATCTCCTACCGACACAGCCCCCGTGCTGGATTCATAGGATCACCTCCATTACTTTCCTTCCAATAATCACTCACCTGTGTATCTCTTCCCTTCGAAACACATTCATTCATGCAGGCGTCATACAGTCCCTTTTTCTCTGTTCGACAACACCTTACCTTCATGATGATTTTGCAAGTCTCGGTCTTGCCCGCACCGGACTCCCCGCTGACCATGATGGACTGCGAGCGCTGGCTGTACTCCGTTGCAGGTGTTGTCATGTTGCGGTACGCCTTGTCCGCGATGGCGTACACGTGGGGAGGCTTGGTCTCGACAAAGTTCGGGTCGTAAGACCTACGCTCTCCATCCACCTGCCACAGGTGTTCATCAGTGCGAGTTGTTCGTTTCGGCGCTTATTACCGTATTCGACATCACAACCTAATCATCCACATATATACAAGAAAACATTCCACCACACACAACACCACACGAGCTGGAAATATTGACAAGCCTCTGACAGGGGGGGGCGGAACGGAAGTGTTCAAATGTTGTCGTTAATGAACTGTTGTGAGTGTGTGGTAGACTACTACTACCGATGGGTGTTATCAAGCATTACTATATCTTCAATCGAGGCCCCTATCTCCGCGTATAGAGTTGAGGGGCTCGTCTTCACTCTGTGTTTCAATTTGGTGGCAAGGGGCAGTAGATCCCAAAATAGCCCTTGCCCGAACGACTTCACTCCTCTGCATTCTTGGCGGGCCAAACGAAGGGGGGATCCCTTTGTTCTCTCCCCGATCAGAAGTGTCCGATCAGAAGTATCTCATTTGTCGGATGTTGGGTTTTGAGTGACCTGGTAAACGTCGGCAGTGCCTGTCTGCGAAGCTGTGGTACAATCGACTGTATTGGAGATTACACATTCATGAGTTGACTGCGACAAGTCATAGAGATCTGCCATGCTGCGGCGAATGTTTTGACAAATAGTCTCTGTTTAAATGCATACGGTTCTGTAGATGAAAAACAACAAGTTGGGCAACAGCATGCGAACCACTCATGGGAACGCGACGAAAAACAGCGTGTGCCTCACACTCGTGGACATACAGATACCCACATTAGTGTCGCAAAGTACCAGTACGCATCCGGTGAGCTATGGCAACAAGAGTGAAATCATGTATAGTCTCACCTGTTGAGATAGCCAGAGGGAGACATGACCAAGCAATGCTCGCCACGACACATAGTCGTCAAATATCGAAAAAGCTGCTGAGTAGATCTTTATCGCTAAGCCCTCCCATACGGAGGAAGAAACAACAAGCCGATCTCCTCCTCTCTCGATACTCCCAATACCATAGCAGTGCATACTCCGGAGTAGACAACATCACAGGCTATCTTGCCGATTCCGGCGTACGTCACGGGGGGGTTCATCGATGGGTGTACCGTCGATACCAGCAAGGGCTTAGCATCATTCGATTGCGCGCGAATGAACTCGTTCCGTGTATGGTTACCTGCTCCGCACTGACTAGTCTACCAAAGATTTAGCATGTTCGACAGGGGGCAACTGGCATGAAACAGCGCGACCGCCCCACCTTGTACGCCTTGAGGAGCTTATCCGTGTACAGATCGACGGCCTTGAACGGGTTGACCGCGAGCAGGATCGGTCCCGTGTAGGTGTAGATGGTGTTCTTCCCGTACCTCTCCTTGAGCGAGAACAAAATGGCCGGCTCGTGCAGGTATGTGAGCGAGGTAAGATCGGCCACGCTGTGTCCCTCGATGACCGATGATTGGCCAGCCACGTTCCGGAGCTTGAGATTCTTGCTATCGTCTTCGTCCCGCCCGGACACCGTGTAGACCTGCTTCCCTCCCACATCTAGGGCCACCTCAATGTCGAAGCTGTCGCCTATTGCGGTCTTCTTTTTTACTGTACCGGACTCCCACAGCCGCTCGCCGCCCGAGGCCCATACCTTCGCGCCCTCTTCCATGGTGGTGAGGTTCCCTCAGCAGCTCTGTATGCCACCTTTGAAAGCAGATCGATAAGGTCATTCGCGCGGGGAGCATGCTTGTAGAGCTTGCACGGTCAACAGGGTTATAGCTTGGCACGCAGGCGCAGACGCTGGGGCAGATTACAATGGTGCAACTCCAACAAACGTCAAGGCTATTTATTGCAACCTTCACGTTGCCGTTTTTGGTTCCAGCGAGATCTGAGAGCAGACGCTCCAAAAAATAGCATGCATACCTTGCACCAAACTGCCTTGCTGTGACCTCCAATCTCTCACGTGGAAAAGCCGTCGAGGGTGAGCGAGGTCAGTCGCCCGTCGTAAACCCGCTGACAGGCTGAGCTGCTGCTGCCGAATGAATGCAATTGTTGTGCGTATGCAGAAAAAGGAAACTATCCAACTACGCGTGCGCCCCACCTCAGTCCTGAGTCTCGTCAAATTGTGCCCGTTCAAAGTTCGAAGGGACAGTCACACCGCATCTTACAAAATTTCGCCGCATTATTGGGGTCGGAGTGCGCAGGAGCGCAGGAGCACATGGAACATTGGAGATATTCGAGAACGAAAAGTATTCAGGCACAGCAATGTTAGCAAATATATACCGTGTGTACCTAAAGCCTGGAGGCAAACGCGCTTTTGGGCAAGCTTTTTGTGACGGTTCTCGCGTGACAGTGTGTTTCAGAACAGCAGTGACAACGATTAAGACTGCATAGAGCCAGCCCGGGAAGGTCTGGGTGAAACCAGTCCCCCCATATGCTCTGCTGTATTCGTGTGTGGTTGGCTTCGCGTGTGGCCTTGGCAGCCCGGGAGATTAAGCGGTAGCTACCTCAGCCGCATGATGATCGCGTGTGGGAGATATATGATTGATGGAGAGCACCATCGTGGAGCGGCGAAGTTTGAGTGTGCTGTAGTACATAAACGTCGCGCGTGGTCTGCAGTGTGGGAGACTACAATAAATATGGGGCATGTTTCTCCATCTCAGCGCGAGGATAACTATGCATCCTCATTGAGGGTACCATTGTCTGTGGAGCGGCAGTTGGACCAGTACGGACACTAGAAGGTACTCGATCCTATACCGGAACGGTTTATAATGTGAAGACAACAACAACAACAACAACAACAACACGTGGAGCGGTGACGTGAGAAATCGCCCGGTATACTATACTTGATAGTAGAATGAAAAAACTAGGTTTCGAGCGCTGTTTTCTGTAAGCGAAAAACACATGAGATTCAGGCTTATTCGAGGGGTGAGAAATTCCGGAGAAGGAGCATGCCTCAGCAGGGGTACCCAAAAACACGGCAATTTTTCCAGTAGGCGGCGCTTAACGCGGGGGCGCCGAAAAATTAAGCATTGATGAAAACTGCCTGCCGGCCCAAACTACAGAACACTACATGGTCGTCTCTCTCCGAACCTCTCCCTAAACTTCTTTTCAATGTCACATAATCCGCTTCGGGGAGTGGAATACTTGGGCTCTCGCGCTTCGTAGGATGATTGGAGGCTTCAGCATGAGACGGAAAACTACCCGACACGTCCACCCGCCAGCTATAAGCTACTGCTACCGAATGCTTGGGAGACCTGCCGTTGGCAGAGTGATGCATCGCCACGATAAGAGTGACTGGTACATCAACACGTCGGCAGATTTATCGTATTTGTTTTTTGTGTTAATGGTTGTGGTGGTGTCTACTCTCTCATCTCGCAGGAAACAATTTCCAAGGGTAAACCGAACAGGGAAAAAACAATACCGATCCCGAATACTTTGCCTGTCAGCTTACTGCAGCGCAAAGTGATGCGTTTGCGAGGTGCCGATGGCTTTTACAAACAAATAAACGGAAAGCATCATTACTACTTAAGGCCTTATTCCGTTAAAAAGACCGGGTCACAGGTACACACTCTCCCTGCTCGAACAAGTCCCTCGCGCAAACAACGACAAAGAAGACTTAGCAGTTAAAGTTAGGGGACGATATCACCATGTGCCGAGAGGACCAGTAGAGCCACCAGGTCAGACAATACTATGAAGCCATCCCAACAATTAATCTGGGGACACGGATCAATGTGCCTTGTTTCTTACACAAGTAAATAAAGAAACAACAATTAATCTCACACGAACAGCGACCGCCTTTAGTTATATCTACATATCGAATCAGGATCATCCGTGCACCGAACAAAGAGAAAACAAATGCTGCCAGAACAAGAACAACCTAGTCGGCGCATCGTTGCCGCGCCCCTCGGCCGCCGCCTCGCCCACTTTCCCCCAATGCAGGCACCCTACCCCCCGACTGCACGCCTGCTGCTCCCAGCCCACTTCTCGCATTTTCATCCTCACGGGGCCCCCCGCCACCGCCACCGCCGTTGCCACCGTCGCTAGTGCTCCCAGCGCCGGCAGCGGCACTTCCACCTGGCCCCTCCCACGGCGTCGACGTCTCTCCTTCTCGGACCGTCCTGACAGTCCCGCCCGCTACGCGAACCATGCCGACAGTCCCGCCCGTTCCTCCTCCGCGGACCACACCAACAGTCCCGCCGGGAACCGGGCCCGTACCACCAACACCCTCCTGGGTCTCCACGGCCCTGGGATACATCCTGTGTGCCCCCGGGGGGAGAGAATACACCCATCCCCTGTCTCGGAGAATGCCGGCGAGGGAGTTCAGGACCGCGCAGCTGGAGAGGGTGCGGAGGGATCCCACTAGCAGGAGCTTGTGCTTGGCCCTGGAGAGGGCTACGTTAAGCCGCCGCCAGTCTCGGAGGAGGTGGCCAACGGTGCCCTCGGCATTGGACCGCACGAAGGATACCACGATCACCTTGTGGTGGCGACAACGGTAGCGTTTGGTAAAAAACACGTAAACGTAAACGATTGGTATACCGGCAAGGGCAGCGCGCAGCACGAAAAAACTATGTAGCACCTTGAGAAATTGACAAAAAGAACAGGTGCTCAAGTCACGGGTCTGAACCAAAACCTATTCGGTGTAGTTGATGCTTGGCGGCCCACAGGAAAGAAAGAAACAAGAACCCAGCAAAAAAAAACAGTTTTGTAACTGAGGGGCGTTCTCTACTATGGATGTTTAGCCCGGCGGGGATGGGGGGGTCTTGGGGCCAAAGTGCCGATCGGTACCCAAACATTTCGAAGCTCAGGAGAAGGGATACCCTGTCTCTTGAGAACAGCACCCTCACAGCTTCAGAAATATGATTTTCCCTCGGCAACAACGAGCAATACTTCCATGTGCTTGGAACGCTCAAATATGCTGCAATACTCCCAAACACCACAAACACATACGCGCACACGCACGCGTGTTTTGCAATTGCCCAAAATATTATCACCCCGTACAAAAGAAACAGCTGTAAATTGTACGTTCTGGTCAGCGGTGGAGACTGTTCGGGAAGCCGTTCGTCTGTTTTGAAGCAGCAGCTTTCCGACCACCTCTCCTTAGCGGCCCGGCTGAAATCAACATCCTATTTACCTCCCATGCGTACCAAACACCACAATATGCTGCATCGTTGAGGGATGTGTTGTTGTTGTTGTTGTGGTTGTTGTCTTCACATTAAAAAACGTTCCGGTCTCCGCGCAGTACCTTCTAATGTCCGTACTGCTCCAACGCGGACGCCTTGCGTGCTCACAAGCCAACTGCCCCCAAAGGCCCAAAGGGGGGGTACACCTTCAAAAAAAAATAGGACACCACAAAAAATTCCTCCTGTGTGCTCAACGAAAATGCCTATTAGTCAAATGCATCAATCACCTTCTTGTCTCTTCCTTGGTACTTGTCGATGGTGTTGACCTCGAGAGCTGGGAACGACGGTTTCAGCTCCGCCTGCAGCAGCTGAACCTGTAGGCACAGACCCACGGAAAAGGCGGCAGTGAAAAAAAATCAAGTGGTGGAGCACCCCTCTGTGCTGTCAACACCGCCGTCAAAAACATGCCAAAGGATTCTCTCGAAGTGATCACTATCGTTAACTTCGACCGACCGAAGTTTCGCCGTTTTTGAAACGCCCGGTGGAAACGAGAGACCACCTCCAAAAACAAAACAAAAAACTTATGGGATCAGCACGGTTGACCGAGGCAAGCTGAGACACCAATATAAAAATCACACCCAAGGTGAAGCACCAGCCCCGTACAGAGGGGCAAGGGTGCACGAAAAAATACAACAACTGCCAGTTGGAGAACTAAATCAAATCACCATTTGAGAAAAGTTCAAAAAGAATAGTGTAACTTCATGTTTCACTTGGGTATTAGAGTAACCCCCCCCCCGCAGGTTTTCTCAACGCCTACAGTGAAGACATTAAGGAATCCCTTCGACTGGGGTGTGTAGCATCTCGCACGGGTAGCCTTTCTGTGGTTGTACGACGATTTTCCAACAAGAAGACTGCCAAGGTCGGGCACCAATGACGCAGGAGGGACATCATTGGTTGGCGCTCGTCTGCAGGTCTCGTGCATCAAGAGCAGCGACAAACGCACCTGAAGAGCTCCTACCGACGAGCAACCTGTTATGTGCTGTTCCAAACAAGTCTTTTTTAACCTTTTCGTCACGAAACAACACACACTTTTCGTCAAGAAGCAACACACTTTCAACCAAACCCCTGAAAAACTCCAAACGAAGAGAAACCGTTGTGTGCTGGTTCAAACAAAATATTTCTTGACCGTTTCGTCACGAAACAACGCACTTTTCTCGTCACGAAACGAAACAACACCCTTACCTGCGATCGGTAGGGAGAAATCACCCCAACCCCTCCGAGGTCAAACCCCGCAACACCCAGCCCCCACGCCAGCAGCCGCACCACATCACACTCCACGGCGTTGACCAGCGTCCCCCGTCCCCTCTGCTCCCCGGCCTCCGCCACGGACCGAACCTCCAAACCCGCAAACGGCGGCCTCCCAACCCCGCCCCCCCAGCCACCGCCCCCCGCCCCGCGCCCTGCTTCAACCGCCTCCCCATCGTCTGGAGAGATGGCGTCGGTGTCGAGGAAGGCGACACGCCTGTCCGGGTGCAAAACCTCCGACAACCACGGCGTCAGCCCAGCATCGGCGGAGGATCTCGGGTGCCCGCCGCCGCCGCCGCCGCCGGGGGGGGGTGTCTTGCCTTGCCAGGCGCGGCGGGCGGGGTGGTGGTTCCGCCGCAACCCGCCGCCGCCGGGGGGGTCAGCAGCGCTACCCACCGCACCCCGTGCGGTACGGCCACCGCTAGCACCACCACCACTACCACCACCACCACTGCCAACAGCGGCAGCACCACTACCACCACCAACAGCACCAGTCGACGGTGGAACAGGCGCTGGAGCCAGCAGCTGCGGCGGCAGCGAGGAGGGGCTCCGCGGCGGCGGGATCGCGGCGGGGCTAGGCAGTACCAGTCGCTGGGCCCCCACCGTAGCGTTGCCGCAGCGGAGCCTCCCCGAGTAGGTGAGGTCGTTGCAGAGGGCCATGACGTCGCCGTTCATGCGGTACTGGTAGGAGAGCCGCTGGAGGGACGCCGGGTGCGCTTCGCACAGGCGGCGGAACAGGCTCTCCGACATGCCGGCCTCGAGCGCTTCCTGTTGGCGTTGAGGGGTGTTGTGGGTGTTGTTGTTGTTGTTAATGATGATGATGATGATGATGATGATGAGCTTGATTCTCGCGCCGTGCATGTATCAGTGTCACCAAGTCGAACGGTCACATCGGTGTGCTTCCGAACGCCGAGCGCTGAAAAAGCTGAACCCTACATCAAACTCAGAAGAAAAAAAAAACTTTTTGGGTGTTTTCCTCGCCCTGCGTTGCCCAGACAGACGGTTGTGCTTTCCTTCAAACATACACCCGAGCACTGAAAAGGCTCACGCCAACAACGACGACGCACACACACCCGTCAACACCAAAGGTTTCATCACAACCAAAAACAAGCTCTGGAAATCGTGGAAATACAGGTAGCTTTCGCTACCGCCATGGCTTCATTGCTAATCTATCTCAGAATCTTTTCAGCAGATTGAGAGATGAATTCGTTGTGTGGTATTGGAGATGGATTCGTTGTGTGATACTAGATATGGATTCGTTGTGTGATATTAGAGATGGATTCGTTGTGCGATATTACGACAAAAAAAAAAATCCATCTTTCTATAAGATAGATGGATTCGTCGTGTGATATTAGAGATGGATTCGCTGTGTCAAAATAAGAAGAAAAAAAAAAAAACTCACCGAGCTGGTGACCAGGGGGGGAAGCTGATAGTGATCCCCCACCAGCACAAAGACGTCGGCGCAGCGGAGAGGGGCGAGCACGACCGGCTGCGAGATCTGGCCGGCCTCGTCAACCACGCAGTACTCGAAGCGCCGGTGGGAGAAGAGCGGGTGTTTCACGCCTAGGCACGTGCAGCCGACGACCCTAATAGCGAACAAAAAAAAACGCGAACACACTTTTTTGGTCAGATGGATGTGTACAAGTAGCGCCTTCGAAGCCGGATGCCAATGAAAGAAGCAGATGAAATTTGGTTTGATGCATACGTATAGTGTATAGCGCCTTCAGGCCGATGCCAATTAAAGAAGAAGACGATAACGCACACGTTATACTGGTCAACCGGTTACCGAAAACACACGCACGCGGCAGAAGTTAAAGAACTCGCGACCCCCACCAAAACAAAACCTTATAACAAGGAGATTTGGTCAAAATCCCCCCCGGGGGGACGTATCAGGCCTCCCCACCCCCGTGCGCAACCAAGATTGACACGTTATCTTGGGGTCTTCCATGGTTTCCACATGGAGGGGCCCTCGCTTCTACCATCCATACCGGTCCAACTGACGAGGAACGCCTTCCGTGGTCACACGCCAACTCCCCCCTCCAAAGAGGGTACACACTTCAATTACGATACAAAACATACCTAATTATTTTTCCCTGCACTGCTGTGCAAGCGGATTTCCTCCTGCAGAACATTCCTTTCGGCTTTCCAACGTAAACTTAACACGGCATTACCTTTCCTGACACAAGTAAATTTCCCTCATAACTCTCCTCACCGCGCGGAAGCCACGAGCTCCGAGTACGCCGCCGTGGTCTCCGCCGACCCGTCATAGTTAACGCAGTGAGGCCGGACCCCCGGGTGCACCGAGGAGGGCTTGCCCACGCGCAGACACGGAACCCCCTCCTCGATCAGTTTCAGCAGCAAGTTGTCCACGGCGGAGTGGGTGTAGGAGGTGACGAGGACCGAGGCGCCTCGGGCGAGGAGGACCCGTACCGCGAAGGCGATTGTCCAGGTTTTCCCTGGAACGAAAATGCGGAACGTGGGGGAAACCCGTTGGTCGGTCGTGTAGATGCCGTGGTTTGACGGGTGGTGCTTGTGGTGGAATATATGGGACATGGATGCCGGCCGGTCGCGTTGCGTGGTGTGATCGGTGGACGAAGGTGATGGTGGTGGTGGTGGGAAAATGTGCTTTGCCTTTTTGAGTCATTGGACCGTTGGCCATGCATGTCATTCTTACTCCTAGCAGAGGCAGTTGCAACAATTGAGGGCACTATTCTCTGAAAGAAACAGAAGACCCTGTTTTTCCTTCCTCCTGTGTGAACTCGGCTAATGGTATAAAAAAAAAAGTTGTACGGCGCCGCCGAAATAGATGGGACGAAAACACACAAACAACACAGAAACAACACCATGATCAACAGCACCAGCAACAGTAACAATAACAACAGCAACGACGACGACAACAACTACAACAACAGCAGCAACAACAACAACAACAACAACAACAACAACAAAGACGACGACAATAACTACAACAACAACAACAACAACAACAGCGGCAACAACGACGACAACAACAGCAGCAACAACACCATGAACAGCAATGGCAAAGACGACGACCACGACCACGACAACATCCTACAGGGACACGGCGATCAATCTCACCGGTGCCAGGCATCCCCAGCAGCAGAGCGTAATCCTTAGCGGTGACCAGCTTTCGCACGGCATCCCGCTGGTCCTCGTTGAGCGCCGTCCGAAACATCGCCTCCAGCTCCCCTAGATCCGAAAAAAAAAACGGAGAAAAACGGTTTCTTTACAATATCGATTTATTAGGGATTTCGTTGAAAAGACAATGATGTACTTCGTGGTTCTCATAAATACATTTGTACCTACCATACGACAACGGTCTCATGTTTTGTTTTTTTTTTCCGCCGAAGTTTGTGGTGTTTTTTCCACTACAACCTAAATATTAATATCGGGGTTTCGCGACCGGCAGGCGGTAATTGTCAAGCCCACATGGCACACAAAATCGGCACAGAACGGAGTAGCAGCACGAAATCCTTCGGGATACCTGTGGACGACGACGCTCGCTGTTGGTCGCTAGTTCTGTTGTTGTTGCTGCTGTTGTTGTTGTTGCTGCTGTTGTTCCTGTTCCTGTTGTTGCTGCTGCTCTTGTTGTTGCTGCTGTTGTTTTCGGCGTTACCGCCGCCGTACAGGTCACCCGCCCACCCCAACAGCGTCCCGGGCACGTCCAACAGTCCCGTGAAGCGGCCGAACCTAGGGGGCTCGAGGTCGACGATGAGCCTCCTCCTCTTCTCGTCACCAGCGTTGTCGCCGCCGTTCTTAACGTCGCCGGCCGCCTCGCCCTCGGGGGAAGGGCCAGCCATGAGCTTGACAAGGTTGGACCGCATCATGCTGCGCGTGTTCAACCGGGCGACATGGGGCAGTGGCGGGGATGGTGTCGTATGACGTGGTACGGTATTGTATGGTATGGAAGGGCCAGCCATGAGCTTTACAAGGTTGGACCGCATCATGCTGCGTGTGTTTATATATCCGGGCGACATGGGGCAGTGACGGGGATGGTGTCGTATGACATGTTATGGGTATGGTATGGTACGGTATGGAAGGGCAAGCCATGAGCTTTACAAGGTTCGGCCGTATTATGCTGCGCGTGATTAACCGGGCGACGTGAGGCAGTGGTGGGGATCGTGTGGTATGACATGTTATGTTATGGTATGGTATGGTATGGTATGGTATGGAAAGGCCAGCCATGAGCTTTACAAGGTTGGACCGCATCATGCTGCGCATGTTTAAACGGGCGACATGGGGCAGTGACGGGGATGGTGTCGTATGGCATGTTATGGGAAGGTGCGGTATAGTATGGCATGGTATGGTATGGGGTTTATGGACGGGCCCGCCAAACGTTGACAAGGTTGGACCGCATCATGCTGCGCGTGTTTAACCGCGCGACATGGGGCAGTGACGGCGACGGTGTCGTATACGGTACGGTATTGTATAGAGCTTTACAAGGTTGGACCGCATCATGTTGCGCATGTTTAAACGGGCGACATGGGGCAGTGACGGGGATGGTGTCGTATGGCATGTTATGGCAAGGTGCGGTATAGAATGGTATGGAATGGTATGTACGGGACCGCCAAAATCTTGACAAGGTTGAACGTGGGTGTGTCCGAGACGGGGACGACAGGTGGCGGGGTGGAATGGCATGGTACGGTATGATCTGGTATAGGTACGTTACGGCATGGTATGGAAGGGAATGGCAAGCCAGAGCTTGGCCAGGTCGGACTTCATAACTCTCTGTGTGTAAGACACGGACGCCATGACGCAGTGTCGGGATGGAATGAGATTGTGTGGTACAACTGGCATCTGTTCTCTCGTACGGTATGGAATGGTATAGCATGCCAATGCCACGTTATTACATGACACGGTATGGTACCACAGACATGGCAGGGTATGGTAGGGTATAGAGAGTCATGCAACGGTAGGGATAGCACATTATGGCCCAGAACCTTCGGTTACTCAGATTAATAACCTACATGTACCAATAAACTTCAATCGTGTTTCATCTAGCCCATCGGATTACCTATCACGTCATATTTTCATATTGTGTCAATGTCCATTTCAGGCTGAGATAGATATGGAGCTTCTCACGTTTGAGACTCAGAAGGGATTCGTGCACCCCTACCGTTGCATGACTCTAGAATATTGAACCCCCAGTCCAGGAATACGAGCCATTGTTGCAACGGGCTTGGTGAGGCTGGAAACGGTAAAACCTCCGGGCGCCGGGAAGTGACGGAGTCAGACATGGAAACAGGGATGGGCTACATATGAGGGGTACGGCTAGAGGTTTGGCACACTATTGACGAAGAGAGGGAGAGCAGAGGCAGAGGTTTGGCACGAGAGCACAGGTAGAGGTTTGGCACACTCTTGACAAAGAGAGCGAGAGCATAGGCATTACTCTTCGCCGTGGAGTAGCTGACATTTGAAAATCGGTCCAGGGGGGGGGGGGGGGGCGGATCCCCTGAAACGGAAAAGGGGACCCTGGACGCCCGGGTCTGGGTTCCTCTCCCTTGGTGCCGGGCGCCCCCTCCTCCTTGGCGATCCCAAAAAGCACCCGCTCCCCCCCCCCCTGGTCCTGGTCCTCCCCCCCGAAAAGGGCTTCCATGTCGAGGGGCTCCCCTGGCCCCCCGCCCCTATCTCCCCGCTTCCCCCCCCCGGGGGGGACCCCTAACCTGGGGGCAAAAAGCCCCCCCCCGCCGTCTTTCAAAAAGGGCGCGAAATTTCCGGGCAGCCGGGGGACGTGGGCAAGCCCCCCCCCCCCCCCCC